ATTCCACCACAAGTCTCAGAAGCAGTTTAGCCATGTAGCTGTGTAGAGTGAGTAGTACAGGCTAATTAATCTGAGAGTAACATTGTCATAATGTAGTTGTTCTTTACCATTTAGAGCCGGCTCACTTCTGATGCAGATATTTCTATGCCACACTTTACTGAGTCACATGCCTGAATGAGTTGAAATGATCAGAATTAGGCACTCATTTTTTGAGATGTTGTAAATTCAAAATTCTTCAAAACATTAGAGATTCCATGCTCATTAAAAAAAAAATACAAAGAGAAAATAATAAAGTTACATTTAGCTTATGGATCTCATTCACACATGTTTTCTTATGCCTTTTGAGATTTTTAATGCCTCCAGGCTATAACCAAGGGAGCTAGAACAAATTTTTTAATGGTTTCAAGAGCTACAGCTTTGAGGAAAATATCACTTTTGAAGCTTGTTATAAAATCACAAGTTCACAGATATACACAGGTAATCTCGATCTAGCTCAGCCTTATTTCTTATGTATTTATTTCTTATTTCTTATTTCTAATTTCTTATTTCTTATTTATTTCTTATTTCTCTCTTTTCAAAGATGAGAGAAAATCTTTAAAAGTGCTAAGATAAAGGCAGATATCTTGCTACTGAATTTAAGTACTTAGGAGAAGGTCAGGTACAATGATCAACTGCTTTATAGAATGTCTTTCACTTTATGTTGCTTGAAAAATGCTTTAATTAACTTATTAGCTGTCTTAGAATTCATATGGGCACCTCTCAACTTCATGACTGGTGAAGTGAAATTCTATGATACCATCTGTCCAACTACATCCAGCCAAATGGTCTCTGGTAAAATGGACAGCTTTATTCTTTGACAAGGGTGGCATGTCCTTCAGATCTTAGGAAAATTTCTTCAGCTTCAATTCTGCTAAAATGAAAGACCAAACCTGAAAATAGTACCCCTAGTTTCTCCAGTGTTGTATAACTGTATCAGCTGCCTTGGTACCAACACAAACCTTGCATAGACTGACACCCTTTTTTTGGGCCTTTTTTTCTATTAGAAAAGCTCTTTAAGAGTAACACTGTTTGGGTTGGCAGACTTCTGGTGCCTGTTTTTTGATAGTTGGGGTAGTAAATTAGCATGCTTGAAGAAATTAAATATTCTTTAGGTCCCCTCTGCCTCTGTGTGGTAGGAACTCAAGAGTACAGATTATCTAAATGTAGAGATGTTTATTGCATGGAAGTTTTGAGCTTATTCCTTTGCTTAATTCCGGTTTTTTGTAATGAACCATCAAGATTTATTTACTTGCTACAAATAAATACAGTGCAGGTTCAAGTTAATTCAAGTTATTTTTTAGTCTTCTCCCTCTTATCCCCCCAGAAAAAACTGAAGATACCTCAAGTACTCTCGCTTTTTTCCTCTTAGCAAAGTAGTTGTGAATCAGAAATACAGTTTCCTAGTTCTTTTGAGGTTTTTGTCTGAAAATTCGAGTTCCTTAAAAGCTATGCAAGAAAGCCTTGTGTGCATTAGTGAGCCTGAAGGCCCTGACCAGCCTTTTCAGGGACCTACACCACAGCCTGCCCAGGAGATCTATTTCACCTGTACCTGAGTCCTCAGTCCCTGCTTGAACTGCATTGCAGCTATCCTGATGTTCATCTGCTCCAGAGCTGTGGACCCCATTAATTCTATTTTCCTGCTATGAGCTTGAACCTGCCTTATCACCATGGTTCCACTGAATGGTCACTGAACTGTGCCTGACTTGTGGTTACCTTCACCAGACCAGATCCAGATTCAAAAGAGTGAATTAGCTTCATGACTCAACTTCAGATTTATGTCATCACCATGAACTTGGCTGATGATCTGGACTCTTGATTGAAACCTATCATGACAGAGTCTGCCTTACTTAGGATCTGCAGGATTGGGCCCTGGCTGGCAAGGAGCCTGTCCTGCTGGCCCTATTACCATGCTTGACTCCCTGTTCTCAAGTAGCAGCCAGACTTCAGTGGTCCCTGACACTGTGCTTGGTTTGAATATTTTCTGTTGTAGCTTAAGATAGCTCATTTTCTTGACTCTAAGATATTTCTGCTAGCATATTTGGCCTCCAGAACAGTTTAGGAATCATCAGCATTGGCACTGGTTTTGTACACCAGTATTGGTGTGATCCTTGTTTTGCAGAGACAGAAGCCTGGGGCTATGTTCAGGAGCTCAGAACCTTTTTTTACTCCTCTGTGTTTGTTTAGGTCCTGATCTCAACTTTTTTTTTGAGCAATATTCGCAAAATCAGCTCACTGGCACATTGACAAAGGCTGTAGAATGTACTTTACCTCACTTTAGCCTCTGTACCAACCTTTCTGTCCCTTTTCGGAAATTCTTCTCTCTAGGTATTACTTTAGCAGGAAGCCAACATATTCTGTTGTTAGGAGGTACTATGGAGATCCTGTTTATATTTGTCTGTATCCAAAGATCCTGCTGCAGCTATTTCCTTGTACAGGGACTACATAAATTAAAGTCAGACATGCTGAAAAAATCAAATTTGGAAGAATGATAGTAGTAAATTTCAGGTGGTTCAGGAAGGAAGTTTATTTGTATCATGTGAATTTCTCCATTTCCTTTCTATCCTGCAGTTAGACTAGAATGCCATTGCTTAACTGATTTGTGGCTGGCTGAGATCAGCTTCATGGGCTTTCAGCCACCCTGTCTATGGGGCTCTGTGGATTGGATAGAATGCTAACAACAATTTCAGACCATTTTCATAATGGAAGGATGCTTCTCTTGCTGCACAGTGTCACCTGGGAAAAATGTCACTAAAAAATATTAGTTTTCTGGCCTAACCCTCCAAATCATGATCCATTTGGTAACATTTTCAGAGTAAGAATACTCCACTTTGTGAATATGGCAATTTTACCTCCAAACAGGTGTATGTCACTGAGGTTTGGTTGAAATATATCACAGCCTTCATGTCTATTTCACATCTCTCCACATGGAGACATGTTCTCTTTATTACAGTCTTCTACAAGATTTATCAACCTGTTTTGAAATGTTCTCTATGTCATCACATTTGCTGCTTTGTTCTTTGCTGTTACACCATTCTTAAAGGTTTCTGTCCTGTGGCTGTCCAATCATAACAATGTCAGAAAAGAAGTGCCTTTTCATTCTACTCTGCTAAAAAATGGATAGTGATGTGCTTGTGCAAGCAGGCTGATCAGTGTTCTTCAAAATTAAATGCTGCCATTAGTATTTCTAGCCTCATGATATAGAAGACCTTTCAGTCAAGCTTTGCATACTCAGGAGTGTGCACACTACTTGAGCATCAACACTAAATAAATGAGTTGTCATTTCTGAGAAACAATAAAACTGAAATATATTCTGAATGATCATTAAAAGTAATTTTTTTTTCTTTTTCTGAGTTTGGTAGTGTGTTCTAAAAATAGCTTACTATGGTATGCCTTTGCCTTCTACGTCCACTTTCTTTCAGTCTAAAATGGACGATATCATTTGAGGCAATCAAATAAGTGGACCATTTCCTTGTTCCTCCATAGATGGGGCAGAAATATCACAAGGTTTTCAAATTATAGGAGATAGAACTAATGTTCTGTTCATTTTTAGAATGTGTTTTATGATTCTTATACTGCAGACTCAAGCAGTCTTTTCATGTCAGTTAAACTCAGATTATATTCTCTAGTTTTCAGGTAAGGAATAAAATCTTGTGAATGTGACTTTTTCCTAGGTTTAAGACTTAAAATTAAAAATCCAGTGATTGATTTGTTATTTACTCATTATTCAGAGAGGAAAGACACTAACAGAGGCAATTATGCAATTATAGGCGATTATAAATCTTTTGACGTTCTTAGAAATGCCAGGAACTAGCATGAATACACCTGTTTGGAACTTTGAGGAAATTCAGATGTGGATGGAAAACCTGCAGTCCAGTCTCTAAGGCTGTAAAACTGGAATAGCAAATTACGGAATTAGTATTCAGAGTTCAGCTCTGCTACTTAGATCTATGTCTATTTAACAGTGATTTTTAAATGCCTAAAAAATATTTAGAAAATTTGAGGGAAAAGGAAGGTACAAAGTACTTAAAATTTGCAAAGGTCAGAAAGATTTTACACATAGAAGTACATTTCAATCAATTTATTTTTGTGTTCATCTTTCAGAGCTTCTCTTTCATACTACTCTGGCTCTCCCTCTGACACTTTTGAGATTTACTGTTTTGCTGATGTTACATCTACAACCACATGCATAGGAACATGGTATCAGCTCACCACAACTTGCACAGAAGTGGAAATTTGTTACATTTAAAGAAATTATAAAATTAAAGAACTTAAACCCATGTGGTTTGGTAATGCTGAATTGGAAATGTCTCACAGTCGTTTATAGTCTGACTGTGCTGAAATCAGAGTTCCCTGGTTGATGTGACATGATTATATGTTACGAGTGCATGTGTTAACCTTTCAAAATAAAATGTTCCGTTTCTTCTTTTAAATACCAAATGCTTATATAGTTATAATACTTGCTGATATTTGCTCACTGACAGTCTCACTTGTTTTCAAACCCTACATATTTAAAGTTGTGGAGTGTTAGATTGATGTTTCTTTCACTCAAATGTCATATTCATCAACTGTATTGTGCTAGCAGATTGTTAAATAGACAAGGTGACTTGCAGAGTGACAAGTGATGTGATGTCCCAAACCATTAAAATACAGTAATGATGTGGTTTTTTCCCTTTCGGCTTTTGCAACATAGTGGGTTTTTCATAAAACACAGGTGAGAACATTCCTGAGTAGATCTATTGCGTGGAAAAAATCATAGTTAATGAATAACAAAACCTGGAAGTCAACTGGAACCTCACAGATAATTGAGAAGTGCTGAACACTTAGGAAAAAGTAATATAACAATATTTTATAATGAGACAAAGATACACTATGTTATAAGAAAAATTAAATTACTTGATGTATTATACTGCCTTTCTTTTTTCAGCTATAATAAAAGCTATTTTATAATTTTACTTGAATAGCCTCCCAGGAATACCACAGGAAAGGACGAAACTTCTGCTTAACCTTATATCAACTCAAATGTCTTTCTCAACTTATCAAACTCTTCTTATTAACGGAGGAAAAAATTGAAGAGCTCTCTACAGAAATTCTGCTGCTGCCTTCATTTACAGAGAGGAATAAGAATGTTCAAGGTAATGAATTATTGTCTTGATTTATTGGTTTACTTTGTGCAAAAGAATAATTTTATACTATTTTCAGCATTAATTACCTAATTTATGTAATTATATTTTTCAAATGAATGTGTTACCATACCCACTGAAAAAGTTTTTGCACTACACAGATTTACGTTTTAGCACAATGACCTGTAGAAAAGAACTGATCACTGTGTATAAAGATGTGATGTACTAACTGTAGTTATTGATGGAGAGCCATGATGAAAAACTAACACACACTGTAACAAGATATCTCCTTCTGGTTTCTCTGTAAAATCCTGTGTTTTACATAAGAAACAACAATATTTGGAGTCTAAATTCTTTGAAACTGACTTTTTCTGAACTTGTCCTTGAAAGCTGCCTTTTTCAAGAGAGAAAAGCACATACATTAATATCAATTTAGTTTATCTTAGTGTAGATGAAACTAGATGCTAAAGGATATAGTCCATGTTTAATCTGTATTTCTCACACTTACTTGTGCACTATGTTTACTAGCATGCTTATCTCACTGGCCTCAGTAGTGTACTACAGAAGGGGCTCTACATCAGTAAAATGATAAAGCCTCAGGTTTGCATTTGCTGTAGGTTCCAAGGTCACTCTTTTTTTCATCTAATTATATTCAGTAGAACTGGGTATCGTAAAAATTCAGATGAGTAACACCTTCCTGGAGTGTGTTCATAAATGTTCTCGTACTCTGCTGCTTCTGCCAGTAGAGACTCCAAATCATGAGAGAGCAGTGGTTTCAAGAGCATTGATTCTATTGCAGGAAAAGATCAGACCAGAAATGGGGCCAGGCTGCTCAGGGAGAGAGGATGGGTGAAATCAGATGTTCACTATCTTAACAGTCAGGCTGTATGCTGAGGAGGAAGGTGTTTTGGGAATGATGTAGTCTCAAAATACTACATTGATGAAAATAAAAATATTAAATAAGAATAGTTCCAAGGCACACATTTTGCTAATGTATTCTTCACCTGTAATACTGACACTCCAAAATAAAGAAATACAGGTTAACCTTTATATTTTTACAATATACATCAAAGCTCTAATAAGATGTACATTTGAATTCAATTTTTGCTAGTGACTTCAATGTATTTCTGCCTCTGTTAGTCACTCAGTTTTACTAATTCTCAAGAAATATGAAGCTATTATACATTAGGATTTATGTTTTATGGTCTTGATTCTACAAAGAGGTGTTAGAATAAACTTACAGAGTTTTCCTCATGTGTTGGGCAGAGTACACATTCACTAAGGGCAATGGTAGATGTACTTTTTGTTACTGTATTATGTGAGAAAGCGTAAAAAAAATTTTGAAGTCTTGAATAGGAGATTTATATTTATGTGACTATATTCTAAGGCATGTGGTCTCCAGTAATTCAGAGACTTTCCAGGAAGTAAAAATTATCCTGCAGACATTTTTCCAAGCTTAATTACATCCAGAACTATTTCTCCAAAGCGTGTTAAGCAGCCATCTTTGAGAAATATTCTTTTAGAGTAATCATGTCTGTAGCAAGTTGGTTCTTAATTGGTACCTCTACTTAATCAAATCTGAATGGGAAATATTATTAGCTCTAGTAGGAGGCAGTCTTGGTAAAATCAAAGAAACCATAGAATTCATTTTACCCTGAAAAACAAGTGAGGGTAAATATTTTTCAGGTGCTTTTAGTGAAGTCTTAAGACATATTTTTGTTTTTCGAGTTGCTGTTTTGATCATGTGGTTCTATTCACAAAATTTTTCTCAGTGATATGTTTACAGATAGTTTGTGAAAAGAAAAGAAGACATGTCCAGAGAAATTTTTAACAAGACATCTGACTAGAAGAAAGGTTTATTGGTGTTATTTTATTTTCGTCGTGCTGGAAATCTCAGTTGTAGTGAAGTGAAATATGATGTGGGAGAATGAAAGCTATGTTCCCAGTGGTTCCAGGTTGTGTTAAGTACCGAAGGGGATTTAAGATTTTCCCTGTTAATGTCCTATATTCGACTGATAATTTTATTTTTTTCACCAATGATGACTGAGTTTTTTGATAAGAAGGATTGGTTAGAATCCTTGTTTTTTTTTCATCAGAACACATTATGTGACTAGGCAATATAATGGCCATCTTCTCTACTTATTTAGAAGCCTTAGTACTAGAAATCTTATTTAATTTGGCAGTCAATGTCTACAAGTGTAGATGTGTCTGAGGCAGCTTTAACTTAACTTGGGTACAAAGGTCAGGTTTACAGTGCAGCATAGGCTGCATAACCAGCCTAAGAAGCAGAGCAAATTAGCCCAGGCTGAAGTGTGTGCTTCTGGGGTTAGACAGCTACCCATACTCTCAGCAAGTTTGAGCTAGCTTGGGTATGTCCATCTTACCCCTTAGTCTCTGCAGTGAGGGATATCTGAAGTGCCAGTGCTCTGCAAGTAGTACAGCTGACAAACTAGGGAAAGACGGCCAATTCATAAAAGGTAGATGAATGTCCAAGTCATCTAAAGTTTCCCTAGGCATTGCGTAGACAGAAGCCTTGTACTTGTTTCCTTTATGTTTTGGTTGCTTTTAGTATTCATGGGAGACCTTTAATCTATGTAGCTCACACAGAGGTGCAACAAAAATAATGTTTTTTTCATGTGCTTGTGTCAAGTGGTGTGTTTATGTGTATAGCTGTTTCAATGTCAATTGATTTTTTGTTTTATATTCCATAGTACTTCAATTTTGATATTTAGAACATGTATAAAGTTCCATCAGAAACAAAGTAGTTCTTTGGATGATTCCTCTTTGTAAAATTTCTTTTTGTCCCAAAGATGGCATCTGAGTTTTATCTAAACCAGATGGTTTCTTGGCCCTCATTTTTCCCTAAACCCAGCAATGACAAAGAGCAACGGCTGCATAAATTGGATGTAAGAAGAACACTTAGGGTTTATCACAGAAGAATCAAAGATTTCATATCTTCTGACAGATTGTTTGTACTCTTAGGGGGTCTTAAGAGGGGTCAAATGGCTTCTAAGAGTTGCTTAGCTAGATGGTTAAGGGATTGTATTAGAGAGGCGTATGTAGTTAAGGGTAAAGAGGCTCCCAGGGTTTGTAAAGCTCATTACACTAGGACTATAGCTGCTTCTTGGGCGGAGAGGTCGAAGGCTTCCACATTGGAAATTTGCAAGGTGGCCACCTGGGCTTCTCTTCATACTTTTTCATTGCATTATTGCTTGGATGTAGTCTCTTCTGCAGATTCTGCTTTTGGTAGGAGGTTGCTTGTGAACCAAAAAAAGAACAGTGAAGAAAAGAAAGACATGTAGTTCAGAGTTCTAGCTGGCAACAAGACAAGTTTCTTTGCAGCGTGCACAATGGAATCCTATGAAGACCAATTTAGGCTGTTGAAAATAGATGTTAGAGGGAAGTACTGCCTACCAGTGTTCTCTGATGGTAACCCCATGGCAGACAATAGCACCAAAGGAAACAGTGAACCAGAGTGAACTCTGTAGGGAGATGGATGTAGAGAGTTTTTAGGTGATACAGATAGGTCTCTGAGTTCAGTTTGAGAGTTCTTTATCTGGCATCTTCTGGAATATATTCAAGATCCTCATTTTCACAAATTACTTCACATAGATTGGAGAAATGAATTCTCTGAATTGCATTTTCCACTCTAACTTCTTTTCACTGTTCTCCGTCCCAATTCCTCCTGATTTTATTTTTTGACTTTACCAGCAGTAACTTAGTGTTCCTCAATGAGCAGTATGTACAGGCCAAGATTTGAGCTTGAATTAAAACTGTATTTTTGTTATATAGGCACAGTTTTTTAAAAAGATAGTATAAATATACATTTTATCTACTACCAATATGTTCTTCAAGTTATCCTTTAAAGCAAAATAAGGAGAAAATAATGCAAAGTTCTTGGACAAACAAGTAATGGTATGGTTTTGTTCCACCCCTGAACATTAGTGTGACATCTGGACAAGGCTGCTACTCTGCCTTTCAGAGAAAAGATATCTGTACTTTTCTGTCATTAATTCACAATGGTGCATAACTTCATTCCACTACAGGCATTGGATTTCATAAAATTAGAGGAGTAACCACCCACGGATTTTTCTTGACTGTTTAACCCTTTCATCTGCAGGTATCTTGTCATGCCTACTGTGATGAGATAGTCTACTTCTCTATTTACATTCAGTTGAAATTAATGAGTTATTCTAACATACCTACTACTTCCAGCATTACATCTTCTCTTTGAAGAAATAAGGAGCATGGTCATTTACAATCAAGTGTTAAGTGTGTGACTCGGGTTTAGAACTCTGCCAAATTGCATTCTCTTTCCATCTTTAAGTTAGATTTTTTCTTTTGGGTTTTCAGAAGCCTCTTGTTAAGACTTCTGAAAAATCAAAAATATTGAATGTGCTTTAATCTATCTCACTTTTTTTCCCCATTTCAGAGAGAAAGATGACCTCTGGACAGATTAGATAATGAATACTAAGAAAGTCTTTTTTCCAGTGTAGTGCTTGAAAACACTGTGGGCAAAGTTGTCAAGTTGTTAGGTTTACAAGATCTGTTTCATGGGACTGGGAAGATTTGTAAAGGTCTTTCCTTCACACCTTAGAGAGAAATCCTTAACTCTATATCAATTTCTGGAAAGTGTAATAAAATAAGTGTAGAATAAAATTTTTGAGGTGTATCCTCCTTACAGACTTTTATTGCAAAGTTGCAGTATTGCAAAAGTTGTAATTGAAGATTAAAAAACATGATTTTTGCTTTGGTCTCAACATAAGATGTTCAAGTATTTTCTTTTACAAATGCACAGCTTTAGTGGATCAATCCAAAGTGAAGATTAATTTACGCAAGGAGGGGAATATGATTTCAGAGGTACATTTTCTGCATCTGAATTAGTACAGTTTGGTCAGTATAATACAACAAGTAAAAAGTCCATTATTGAAGATAGAAAGCAGAAGGGTTTTTTGACCCATAGTAAGTAAGTGATTTTTAAATTGTTTTTTATATTTCTGGATGAATGTTCTTTCCACTTCTCCAAATGCTTTATTTCCAGGATGGTTTCAATAAAAGTCCTGACTGACCTGTCTGAATCCAATTTGTAAGCTACTTTGATAGCACTGATACTTAGCTTATACACAGATACAGAGTAGCTCATACAAAAGCCTTCCTTGATACTTTGCTATTCTATGCTGCATGCAAGATGGTATCACAATGACTGTTCATATGGCCCTAAATGCTATAAAAATAGGAAAGCTGTAGAATTCTATAGAAAAAAAAAAAAAAAAAACTCAATAGAACTTCTTATAAGAAATAAAAATAATTATATTTAAAATTCAAGAGGTGTCACTGGCATTCTTCAGTCTTTTTAATCATCATTACAAAACCAGAAAAAATACTGAATTGGGGAAAGAATTAAATAAACAGATGAAGGGCACCTAGGCAAACAATTGGGGAGAAGAGAAGAATAATGCCAGACAAATACATACAAGGAAAGTTGGCTGAAGTGTTTTTATTTAAGTGTAACACTGGATATAATGTTCTCGTCATTTGCAATCAAAATTATTAAAGCTGCCTGGTTGGTAAACTAAAGTATGTACAGAAATTATGAACAGTCCATCAAGATTGGATGTTTGTAGATCATCTGTTTCAAGAAGGATAAAGTAAGGATTTGTGGTTAATCCAATCTTCCTTAATAATCAAGAATGCTGGAGATTTAGAATATGCTCTGGAAAAGGAGCAAATATGAGAAAACGACATTTTTCTTCTCATTCCCATCTTTTCTTCAACCTCCATCTCACCCCCATTTTCTTCTTTTCTTCAACCCCCGTCCTCTTTCACAATATTCACTTTTTTCACCTTGCTTTCTGCAAATTCTTTTCTCTAAACAACCATGTGGGAAGGATCACATGCACATTTCTTTCTATCTGTGCAAAAGCAGTTTGATATGTGCTCTTTAAAGAGAGGAGTCAGAGAATTTGTCTAGATAGGTATGTTTCCTCCGACCCATGCCTGCCTTTCTGTCTACAGTGGCAAACTAATTTGGGCTATACATTGAATAAAGCTGTGCTTCTCTTTCCTAGGAGAGTTTGCTGATTAGGGCAAGACAGTCAGAAGACAAGTTGTAAGGCCCTAAAATCCTTACTTGATGAGACACTTAAAAGGGCTTGCGGTTTTTCATAGTTAGACACACAGTACAAATACCAACAAGATATTCTCAAGAGCTCAAAACAACTTTACTGGCAACTTCAGGATATCAAAGAACTTAGGCAAAATTTTTAGGCCAGCATTCAATCAACAAAAAAGCACTTTCCAGAGCATTAACGTAGCTCATTCGACTTCTCAAACTCAAAGCCCGTTCAGTTTTAAGTTATTCAAAAATTCCAAGAAGAGGGTATTATAAGAAGAAAGAGAGGAAGGCAGAAAAGATAGAAAAGAAAAACATAACTACCACTCCTGGTTCCAGCTGTGTTCAGCTCATAGAGTTTCCAAGAGGAGGTAGGGTGAAGATGTGCTGACCTTGTGTCTCAGGTTAAATACCCTTTGTGTTTCCTGGGCCCTTCCCAAGATGGGATTTCCAGTCATCTGGCCACTCTGGGGCTTAACTGGGGCTCCAGGGGCAGGGAGTGGAGCATTGCCTGCAATGTGACAGGGGTTGGGGGTCACTGTGGGGCTGGGATACAGGCTCTGGGGGGTGGAGTGTATGTAACAATGTTCTGCCTCACCAGAACAAGGCCTGACCTGCCTCTTTGCCTCACACACACCCCCAGAACATTTTGGACGAGCATTCCTTCCAGTCTCTCACACAAGTGAAGAAGTTGCAGGATATGAAAGGTATAATTTGTTATCCGTCTCTGTGGAAATAGTGTTTGAGAGCAAGGTTGTAGTAGGATCTGAAGAGTGGAGGCTCTGTGGAGGCTATGGCTCAGTGTACAGTGTTCAGTACAAAGTGGGAAGGCAACTCTTGCTAGTTGGAGGTTAAATTGAAGAAGAAGGTGGCCTTGGCCAGCCATACCCAGATAATATTTGGAGAAAGCAAAACTCTGAGAATCCAAAGAAAGTCAATAAAATATGGGAGACTTGAACATGGGGCGTCTTTGAGAAGACCAGTGAAAGTTTTAATGTGTGTAAGCCTGCATGCACAAACATAGATACATATGAGAATAAAGCAGGAGTGTCCAGGCTGTTAATTAGAAAAGGAGATGGGATAATGTAGTAGAATATGTTAATTTAATAATGAAGGAGCCTGTTAAATTACTGATGTGGGTGTAAGCATCATTTGGCTCTTTGCCTGTGGTCCTGGAGTCACAAATCTACCATAAGCTAGATACCTATTTATCTCAGCTGTGAGTTCTTAACAAGTAAGGCAACAATGCTGTGAATACACAAGGATTTTAGCTTAAATATTTTCTTTGAAGTCTTGATAGAAAAAGTTATAAATAGCAGATCTTAGTGACAATAATACAAGAATGTGAATATATAGAAACTTACTTGTGGTTATAGTTAGAATTTGATGTTATATCTGTAAAAATGAGAATTGATAGGAAAAAAAGGTAAATTTAAGGTAGAAAGCACAGAATAGAAAATAGGGAAAATATCCAGTCACTTAGACTATTAGTTGGTTTTTTTTAAATTCTGGACCAATTTCTAAAAAAAACAGTTAGAAACTGTATCATAAAATACATTAAAACATGCTGAAAAAAACCCAGGAAGTTTCTGGTACTGGCTATAATTATGAGGTTCAAAGAGTTGGATGGCCTGGTTAATTCCTTTTGGTTTTATGTTCTCCCATTTTGTCTTTCTTTTTTTCCCAGCTTAAATCTGTCAATGTCTTTTGAAAATGCAGAAAGGTATTTGGGAAAAAAAAACCCAAATGTACAAAAAAAACCCAAAACAAACAAAAAACCCCATAAAAACTTCAAATTTCTACAATGTTGTGTAAGTGTATGAAAAACAGTGTTTATTTTCAGAATGCAAATCGTCTAAGGGAAAGGTTAAATCTACTTTGGATAAATTATATCCAATGCTTGAAATTTCATAGAAAGAGAAAAGCTCTTTAAACCTTGGCCATTTACTACTAGTAGCTTCAGATCCCTCTGAACACCTCTAAGGTTATGCCTGGAAGATAATCTTTGACAATAGATAATCTTTGCTAGCACCTGTCATTTAAAACCTCTTTTAATTTCATAAGAAGTCATTACTTTAGGAATATCTGCACCAGTATTGTTTACCAGCTTTATGCTGCAAGACAGATTTTTAAAATACACATCATTTGGTGTTATTCTTGTATCTCTTTGTGACTCACAGAACCACAAAATGGTTGAGTTTGCTTAGTTATTCTCAGACCTGATCCTCTTACACCTAGAGTACATCTTCCTTGTTCCAGCTTTTCCTTCTGGTCTCTGGTATCTGGGATTCCTGAAGGTTGGTCTTTATAGAAAATACTGAGTTGAAGAAGGCATTCATTGTCTCAACTTTTTCCATATCTATGTTACCAAGTACCCTATCTTGTTGAGCAATGGTCTCATGTTTTCTCTAGTCTTTCATTTATCACTGGTGTACTTATAGAAGCCCTTCTTGTTGTCTTTGACATCCCTGGCCAAATTTGAGCATTAGCTTCCTTAACTTTCTTCATGTTCAGAAGTAATTTATGTGTCCCTCCCAAGTTACCCATCCTTACTTCCACACTCTTTATGTTTCATTTTGTGTTTGAGTTTGGCTAGGATCTTCTTGTTCATGCATGCAGACCTTCTGCCATTTTTTTTCAGCTCTCTTGAGATTAGCAGGGGTGATAATTGAATATTAATCAAATTTCTTGTGTCCCGTTACCTTATCCCACGGGACTCTTCCAAGCAGGTATTTGAAGAGGCAAAAGTCTGCTCTTCTGAAGCCTGGGTCTTGCTTTTCACCCTCCTTTGTGCTCTCAGGGTCTGGAACTCCACTATCTCATGGTCACTGCAGCCGAGGCTGCCTTGATTTTCAAATTCCCAACAAGCACCTCCATTTGTGCTTGTATCACTTGCAAGAGGAATCATCAGTACATTTCAGGAACCCAGATTTCTTGAAACACTGATAAAAGTAATATCAACCCCAGATACTGCTTTGTCCTTGACAAAACTGGGGCAATATCCCATTACTCTAAGATTTATGAGTGAGCTTTGTACCAGCCCTTCTTAAGGAGTTTCTCTTGTTCTTTGTATTTTTATAAGTGATCATTTTGATTATAATATCTATACTAATTAACTGTCCTTTTATTCTTATTGTATTCATGTTTCCAAATAAGTAAAGTCTGTAAAAATATATTAGTGCTCAATTGATATAATTCTTTGAACAAAGAGGAGAAATAAATTTCTATATAGCTGATCTAGTGTTATCCATTCTCATTGAGATGACTTCACAATCAGTATAAAAATGCATTAATGACAGAAGAAACCATGTTTTATACATTATGTGTGCATTTGTATAAAATACAAGTACCACCAGATGTTGATTTCATCATGTTATATAAAAGAAACTGTATATAACTTGAATTTGACTTTATTATAACATTAGTATTCCCCTACATCTTCTTGAGGGTTTTTTTGTGCTTCATAGTGATATATAAGATGTTTTAGGCTGCTGACTTTTCTACAGAATTAATCTAAACTTTGATCTCTTTTGTCATACTGTGCAGGAGTTCTGAAGAGAGCTAGTGGGGAGCTTTTAACAGGAGAAACTAGAGCAAATGAAACCAGCGTGCTTCCTGAACAGTTACTTCAGGTAGAAGAGGTGAGTATGAAAAGAGTCTTACACTTTGTATTGGATTTTCTTTTTTGTGTGTCTCCAGTGTAGGCTTTCACCATGTTCATTATAAACACCTATTGCTGTAGTTTCATTACTTCAGCTTCTGTGATTACTTCTATGTGCAAAGTTTCAGTTTAGCTGGAATAAAATCTTAGGTCATTCAAAGAAGTTGTTGGTATTTAATAGTTATGAACAGAAAAAATGTAATTATAAGATACCTCATAACAAAATGGGAAAAATTACTTAACTATGATAGCTTTCTTAGTTTTATGCATATAATTTCCAAGAACCTTGAAGAATATTTATAAAGTTCTTAGAATTTGATCATAATGGTTCTTTCTAAAGGTATAGGTACTCATACAATGCCTAGTTTCTCTGGTGCCAACAAACTACTGTGTAATAAGCACTGTGCTTTGTAGAATGTATGTACAAGATTGTTTTTATCTGGCTCCCATTTACTACAAAACACATTTTTATTGTTGATTTTGTGGCACCTAAATGCTCCAACCATCTTATACTTTATGATAGTAGAATTTAATTTCTTAATAGTTTGATTTTAATGCTGAATTTTTTTTAAAAAGTACTTTGGATTGGTGTGTGAAACTAATACTAATATGTATTACAAAGAAGAATTTTTTTAGGTAGATTGGGATGTACTTGATTCCCATCAAAAAAAATGAAAGAGTGCAAAATTGTGTGTCCACGGAGGCTGTCCCTGTGCTTATAAGAGCCGGATGTTGCTAGTGGGGAAAGGGAAAGGAAGGAGGATACAACTTTTAAATTGAAGTAAACTGGAAGGGCTTCACTTTGTAGCCCTTCATTCTCTTCCAATTTAATATTATAGCTGGAGGAATAGTTAGGAATCTCTCTTTTCTATTCTCCAACTCTGCCCTCATGGTGGAGATATTTACTGAACATCATCTTACATCATTAAAATATGTCTCTTACAGTGGTGCAATTCTCAAAAGGTTTAAGTCTGATATAAGTCATAAGAAAAATGCAAAGTCAGATAAGTTGAAAAGTAATGATGTTCTGCTGTGTCTACTTCTGGCAACTATTACACTTCAGATTACTTCAGAAGTGTCTGTTTAAAAAAGGCAAGGAACTGGTGTCAACCACAGGAAAAGCCAGAATTAGTCTAAAACGACACATCTCTACTTAAACATTTTAATATTTTCTAAATCCAGTTCTAGAGAAGTGAAATACAGTGTGGGTGTGTTAAAACCAGCTCCTCTGCAGTGTTTCCCATTGAGATTCATGGTCAGTAACCAGTTGTTAACTTGCAGTGGAAATTATTACAGAGTATACAGTGCTAGATTACTTGTTATACTATTGAAAATACCTATGAATTCTTTGACTTTTTAAAACAGGGTCTTTAAAGATTAAAAAATAAGGTAAAGATGAAGAATGTTTTTATAAAAGCTGTCTTGTTTAAACAGTAATTCTTTTTTCCTAAAAAATTTGATGACATGTTTAATGTTGCTATGCATTTTGTTGAGTGTAAATACTGCTTTTAGTATGATTTCAACACTAGCAGACTATATTTTAAATTTTATAAATAATTTCAAATTGTGATAATGGCCTGTAATTTAATTATGGATGGGCATTTAATTTTCAGACACTATTAACACTCAATAATGACTTTGGATTGATTTAATTTTAATATGTGTTTCAGCCTATTTTACTGAGTTTTGGCTGGAGAAATGCATTTAAAGACCTGTCTTCTTCTGTGGCTCACTGTATAACAATAGCAATTGAGGATTTTTCATCTAAAATCCTTCAACATGAGCAGAAAGAAGAGTTTTCAGCTGCAGGCTGCACAATGGGTCTTGTAAACAACCAGCAAATGAAGGAGTCCTGCAGAGCAGTCCAACAGGAGGAGCAACCAAAACAAATTGCTAAGGCAGGTATCAAAAGATCTGAAGTTTGAAGAGAGACAGAATGGCAAGGCTGTTTGCCATCTACACTTTGAAGTACTTACAGTACTATTAATATTCTACATCTTATATAAATGGAATTAAGAAGAAAGTGAGAGGCATTACAATCTGAAGCTGAACAGAGCTTTATACAATAGCCCCTAGTTTGTACTTGAAAGTATTATCTTTTAAACTTCACTGGCATTTTTTCTTCAGCCTAAAAGTTCTAAAGCTTTCTGATTAGTATTTGCTCTGTTACCAAGTGGTTAGATGGGAAAATGTTGAAAGCTGTGAAATATAGCTATAGAGGGATTTCCTGTATTCATATCATTAGACATGCCGTTCAACTAATTAGCATAACCTGTAATAAAGCAAATTTTGAGTTATTTGATTTGGCTGAAAGGTCATTTATTAATTAAATTTCTTTTGTAAGGAAAGGTATGTTTGAAAGACTTTTTCTAGTAAGATCTGCAACTCTGCTAGCAGATTTAGAATGCTGTTAATGAATGCTTGTTTGAAATAACACATGAGCTTTGGGGAGATAATTTTAGGGAGATTAATGTGTGACTTTATGAAGAGATAACACGTTTGTTTCCAAATTCAATGTTAAGAAATGTGTTTATGTATCTTTCAAAATTAATTAGTTTAGAAAATCATCATTATTTACAAGGAATTAGCGTTGAGCTTTGAATGTACGTTTCGTGACATCAAAACCAAATGAATACATTACTACATATGATGGTTTTAATTTTTCCCCTAGTATCGAATGTGCAGCTTTAAAGGAGGAAGGAATGAAAGAATATTTAATTTACTTTAAAAAATGTTCCTCCTCTGTTTAAGAGATTAAAATGTTTGTAAAACTGAGTCAATATATTTATGTTTCATGCCAATTTCATTATTCAGTATATATAGCGTGTATAAATTAAGCAGTGCTGTCAGAATACAAATAATTTGGTACCACATTTATTTCTCTCAGTTTTGTTCTGACATCATGGAAGAACTTGACACATTGCTTCCATTGGCTCTGGCCTGCAGAGATGATTCTCTTCAGGAAATTAGAGCAAGCTTTGTAGAGGCCTGCAGCAAAGTGGCAACAGATGTTCTGGCAAGACTAGAGGAGAAGAGCAGAGACGTTCCCTTGAAGGCTCCCCTGCAAGACCTGTGTGGTGCCCTTTCCACGGCGATATATGTCTTTCAGCATTTTACAATGTATAGCAATTTAATGAGAGAAACAAGCAAAAAGTATGTCCTTTTTACTTAAAATGTTTAATTCAAATGTAAATAATATGAGACTTCATTCTATTTTGGTGATACAATGTGGTGGTAGTTTTGCAAATTGCATCATATTTTTAGCACATGCAGTATGTGTACTATTTTATGGAAATACCTGAATCAACCTGATAGTCCACAGCAGCCATTGCAAAACAAATTATTTATGTGTAGGATCTGTATTTGATTTGCAGATCTTTTTTGAGAAAGTAAGATTGTAAGATTGTACAGGGAACTGAATGTACTTTGCTGTCATATAAATAAAGTGCTATGGTCTTGATTTCCTTTTCTGACCTTTGCAATGCCTAATTTTCATAAGATCTGGTTCAGGACGTAGCAATAATAGAGGGCAATATAAAAATACATTTCTGCGCTTTTTCCTAGCACCATGTGTATTCAGACATGTAAAGAAATTAATACAATTACAATACATACAATGTATTGTAGTTTTAGAATTTAGTTTATTATTACATGCAGAATAAAAATTAAAGCAGATATGAAGTAGGAGTGTAAAGTCAAAGGCAGTGTTTGACCAGCAGGGACATACAAATGCACTTACTTACAGGAGATTTTGTCTTAAGGTTCTAGGAGTCTATTGGTCCATATATTTCCAGCCATGTGTATAATAATTCTACTTAGGTGTATTATCAAAGAGTTTTAGTACATGCCTACCAAAAGCAATCTCTGTACTTGGTGCTTACCTGCTTTTTGTCACTCACGGCTGATGTAATAATTGCTGATGCAAGAATGCTGGAATTAAAAACTCCAAATGACTGAATGTTGAATATATTTATCTCATGAAATAGGATGAAGTATTTGATTTCTCAGTGATTGGTTAAATGAGAATTCATAGACAAGCAGACATATTTTGAGAACTTTTGAAACAAAAAGTTACAAAACTGAATGCTAGGTTCAAGACCAAAAGGAAATGAATGATTGATACCTACTAAAAAAAACTTTTTGCAGTACTAGTGATTGTTACCTCCTAGTGCACAGCCTTTCAATCACTGTCTTTTTCATCATTCTTTCTGAACAGAACCCTGTTCCTAGTGCCTATCCAAAAATGTCAGAAATTCATCAATATTCTCCAGTTTCAAGTTACGAACTACTGCATCAGAGTTTGTGCTACAAGCATTTTACAGGATGCTGAGAGCCACTGCTGGGATGACTACAAAGCTTTTTACGAGGTGTGAGGTTAAGTTTACTATGGCTTCCTTTTACAAAATGTGTTTTTGTGTTTGCCAGCTCACTGACTAATCAAAAGCATGAGATCAGCATTGTTTTTACGTAAGGATTATTGGGATGTACTATTTTGAAATATCTATTGTTGTGCAAGTGTCTATTTAAAAATGATGCAGGAAAACAGAGTCATTTAAATATGAGATAGATTGTTACTGTGTTTTTATCCTTTTATCATTTTTATCATTTATATTTACAAATATTTATTGTGTGTCAAGGCATTTATATTGAACTCAGTAAAGAGGACACGATCACCTTAATCTCTAAGAACTTTACACTTCTTTTAGAAAGTGTGACATATGAAGATCTTTTTCTGGGAAATTTTTTTATCTGATTCTTTGATTTTTATTTTCAGTTGGTTCCCTTTTTACTTTTTGTGACTAAAGGGTGAAACAAAGAAAGGTGGTCAATATAGTTACCTAAAGCATTTGGCAATGTATTTCTGAAATAACCAGTGCCATTTCACCTGCATCACCCAGCCATGCGTCTGATCTATAGCTATAATTCTAATGATTCTATGATTCTAAAAAATATTAAGATAATTATTTTCATTTATTGGATTTTTTCCTTCATCCTAGTTAAATACAAACATAGGTTGCCATACACTATTTTAACTTATTTTCACTTAATTGCAGGGTGAAGTATTATATGGGTTTTTAATCAGTAATAACTGAGATCTCTTGGAAACAAAGTCTTGTCCTTCCTTGTACAATTTTCTGTGTGAGACAGTTTGTGTGTTCTGTTAAGCATTTTCTAGAATTCTTACATGAGAGAAAATTCCTTCTGATATCATATAAGAAGCTCCTCCGTCAGTGACAAAATCTTTGCTAAACAGGGCATACAGATCATAGAATAAATTATCAAAATTTCCATCCCTCAAAGACAAGTAAATAAACAATTTTGTTTGAATGATAGGTGATAAGGTAAGAAAGGCAGTGGCTTTTGGCAACAGATCATCATAATATGATGATCTTTATTGTCTGTAGTGCCCATGGTGCTGTGTCCTGTTTACTGGTGACCCAGTAACTTCACCATGGAGAAACAGTTGTCTGACAAAAAAAATATGAAGTAGCTAAACAGTTTTATCATTACTGAACAGAACTGATGTATGTAGGAATGAATGAGGAAAACTGGTGTCTCAGCTCTGTATGTTTACAGGACTTTAGGTGAAAAATACGTAATTTTACATCATCACTCCTCTTTTTACTGGGCCATGGGAGATGGCCCGAGGGTTGACCATGATCTGCTCTGAGTTCCTTCAGGAGGCATGCTGCAGAGCAGATGTTGCTTCAGTTGATCTCTTGTAGGCATGTTAAATGGAAGAGATTGGATTAAGATCTATTGCTTGTTACAGAGGCAATTCCCTGCCAAAACTTCCAGCAGTGAGAGGTGCCTTCTTCCAACGTATGAGCCCAGCAGGAAGAGTGCACCACTGGGCCAGCTCTCCAGATTATGTTTTTGAATGACGCTCTTAGTGTAGCCGACATCTGCTGTAGCTGTGGGAACTTATGTTTTCTAACAGTCAAAGAATAAAGAATTGTCCAGAGATAATACAGAGCGGCATATGTAATAAAACACAGCTACTTGTTTCCTCACATATAAGCTAAATAAAAGCTCGCATCTGTTCTTATTACATGAAGCCTGAAAAATAGCAGATGTTTATCGGTGGAATTGTCCACAAATGGCAACAAATAGAAATACAGGTCAGAAAAGGGGAGTGAAGCTCATTTAAACCTTCAGTGAGATTGTTGCTTCTGCAGTGGAGGTACAATACTAAAAAAGGGGAAGAGAGCTATTAGTTAAATAAACCAAAGCAAAGAAAGTGAAACAATTTGTGTTTATAATTACAAAGTTAAATAGTACAACTTTTCAACAAGCTTGTTTATTTTGTTCTTTGTCATATTTTTTGCCACTTTTTAATACAAAATGCACTTCAAATATGTCAGAGGAAAACCAAATAGTGACACCTTCCAATAATCTGCTAATGCTCATCCTAATATATTTAAAAAGAAAGTAGATTACTTTTTATTTTATTGTTAAAGAATACCTATCAAATTCTGAAAGCATTTTAAAAATTGTGGGTTTATTTTATATTTCTAATATGCTAAAATAGCAACAAATTCTTAAAATATTTCTCAGTTCCTTTGGGATGTGGGAACTGAAAAATGAAGTCGCTGTTTTCAAAAAGCTTCATGATAATGCTATTTGCTGAATAGGTATTAGTTGAAATATTTAAATGCGAAACATATTTCCTGGGTACTTTTTAGAAATATTATGGAATAACTACTGTGATTTTGACTCCTGTATATTTATTTCTGTGTCTTAATGGGATATATCTGTTTAGACAATGAAATATCAATGCCAATGATGCTTCCTTGCCATGATGCTTCCTTAAAACCAAATGTTTGGTTTCAATATATTCAAATTAAAAGAGAAAAAAAATCTTACTAAAACAACCTGGATATCTCCTATTGTCAGTTTAATAGTTCAGTTCTTATCTTCACTTCTCACATATCTATTATATATAACCAAGGTTTTATAGTTGTGGTCATGCATAGCATTTCTGCATCTGGGTAAATACACATGCTTAAGTAATTTAAATAATAATTTTCTTCACAGACAAAGAAACTACTATGTTAAGTTTATCTGACTATTCCACTGTTTACAGAATACTGTCTATGTTTTTAAACTAAACTTACAACACTATGAGTTTTGAGAATAGGTTAATTGAAGATGTAAGATTCCAAATGCTGTGGTTTTATTTTGTGGCAGAACTGTAATTTTGTGACTGAAATGCAACAGTGTTTCCTTGCAAATAAAGATGTCTCACATCTTTTCAAGCACGATTTTTTGCCATCATATTGCTGTAAGTCTTTAGCTATTTCCTTTCAGATTTAATTAATTAGACCGATAGGAGTTAAACTGACCTTTCGGAAGGTGTGTTTTTGTTATGTAATGTGTGGTGGTTTTGACAGGGGGAAAGATGCTCATTCTCTGTCCAGATGTGGCATTACTTCTGCCGTGCTCTTCATCATGATCTGTGGACTATTCTACCTCCAAGGACAGCCCAGGAGATTCTTACAGATGTACTAGAGCAATCTTTGGATATTCTGTCCTCCAGATATTGTCAGGTGTGTCCCAGTTACAAAAGAACACCACAAATCAGGTAATGGTTGTATATTTAATGCACCATTTTGATGGATGAAAGAAGTAAATGTTAGTTTTCTGTTATTCTCTGCTTTGATTCAAATTTCAATGTTAATGAACACGGCAGGGGGGATAGACCAAATCTATGCATTTTGATATTTGTTTTAATAAAATTTATTTTGTATATTTAAGTATATTTAGTATTTATATTGCAAACTGGGCAGAATCAAAGGCCTCTTTCAACTCTGTGAAATTGTTCCATAAACTGCTTGATTGGTTTAAAAGCCTCACAATGAAAGTTCACAGAGGATTGGTAATGCAACCAAAAATGTGGACAGACTTGACAATGTCAGGATTCATTAAGAAAATTTAATGAGTTCCTGTAGAATTTGTGTTTTTATAGAGCTTTTCAAGTGAAAGAGCTACAAGGTCACATCAAAACATTTGTCAGAATGATGCTGGTGGTGTAGAAAGAGAGAGGAGAAAGAGGCTATTCCTTTTGCTGTCATTTTATAAAATAAGAAATTGGAAGTTTTTCTTATTGCAGTTCTTATGTTTTACCAGAGAGTACAGTCTTTTTGAGAAATACTAAAGCAGGTGTCTTCAAGTGGAAGTTAATCCTGTCTTTGTCCTTTCTATCCAATATCTTGTTTTACTGAATAAACAGGTGCATTTATCCTAACAGAATCACAGAGAATTACAGAATGGGTGAGGATGGAAGAGACTACAGTGGGTCATGTGGTCCAATCTCTCTGCTCAAGCAGAGTCATCCCAGATTACATAGCGCAAGGCCAAGTCCAGACAGTCCTCTTAGATGTCTCCAGTGAGGGGAAATCCACAACCTCTCTGGGCACTCTGTTCCAGCTTGGTCACCCACACAGTAAGGAAGTTCTTCCTCATATTCAGGTGGAACTTCCTCTGCATATTTTCTGACCATTGCATTTAGTCTTACTGCATAGCACCACCTAGAAGAGTTAAACAGTTTGTGATTTTAGAGGGTTAGAGACACTTACCTGGTCCATGTTCTGTGTGACCTAAGAGTTATGTGCTCTCATCTCAAGTTTTATTATGAAAATGAGTATTGTCATGAAAGCTCAAGTAACTTGCACAAGATGATCTTCTTGAAATGGGTAGGAAAAAAGTGAAATTTTATTCTACGTAGATATTTGTGTGCTCTGTTCCTGCAATAACTTACTGTAATCAGGCTCTTCTGTATCTTTTGGTACAGAGAGGTTTTCTGAAAACTTGCCTGGAATTTTTTTTTTGGGAAAAAGTTCCCTGAAATATGAAAAATACAATATTACTTAAGTATCGTATTAGTCAATTCTGCATGAATTTACTTCAAATTACTGAACAAGAAAGAACTTTTTACATTGTCATTTTATAGAAAAGTTGTATATTCGTTAGGGTGATTATTGAATTTTTCACTAAGTAAATTGAACTATCCAGTTATGAAGAAATGAAAAAAAATATTCAATTTAATTCAATATATTTTTATCACAGAATCTTTACATGTTTTTTTTAATATTGTTGTAGTTTGTGAGGGTGTATTTTCTCCCAATAGTTCTTCAAATGGTAGAGAACTGATGTATAAGTGGTGTATGAGAGATGTATAAACGTCTGCTTATGTGTGTTTGCCTAGATTTTTCAAAAATAATATGATCCTTAAAAATGCATATGATCACAAGTGTATCCATGGCTTTTAGGTACTTAAGTAGTTTTTAAAGTCCAACCTCATACCTCCCATATTTTTTGTGTTATTCACGTGTTTCCTGCATATTGTATGTCAGCATAGTCTTGTGAGATTATGTTGTTGTAGATTGGGTTCTTGCTGTTGTTCAGGCCAAAGACATGTGGCGCTCTGCTAGCCACTATCAACAGGCAATAGATTACTGACTCAGAAATGTTCTGCATTGTACCGTGTTGCATGGAGGTAGTTTTGCAAATTGAAGATTAAGTTACTTTGTTCCTATATTTTGCCCCAGGATTTGAAAATAGTATATACATTTTAATTATAAGAAAACAAAATTTATATTTATTTACTTGTAGTTTAGAATGTAAATTGTACATGCCTAGTGACAGTGCCCTTTGAGAAAGGACATTTCCAAATTTTTAAATCTTCTTTTTACTAGTTTCAATAACAACTCCTCTATGAAAGGGTTGATTTTTACAGAGTAGGGGGTGGAGATTTCCTGCATCACTGAAGAGGAAATTTAAAGTCCATGTTATGATTTTGGTGTTTATCCTGTCAGAAGAAATGTCTATTTAATTGGAATTTACCACTGTCAAGGTGTTTTAAGTAATGTTATTCTTGGGCTGTTTTTGCCTACAGAATTGATATTGCAGCAATTTTGATGTCCACTGAAGATATGATCTGGTCAATTTGTAGTTCTGTGCAGGAGTTTCTGAATCCACACAAAGACAGAAATCTCAAGATCTATAAAATACATAGCCACTGCAATAGTCTGATCTCTGTGCTGGCTATTTTAACTTCACCACTGAAGAATTTGTATGAGTGAGTATGAAATAAACATTTAATTTCAGATAAAGTGGTTCTTGAGCTCATATGGATAGATTTACAAAGATGAATTTTTGTGTTGAAATCAAATGTAATCCATACTATTGTCACATTTTAATAATCTTTGTCTATTTCTCAGTTTGATCCTATACTTATTTTTTGTGATCTTATCTAAAGCCCAGTTATATCTGCTGAGATTTTATTAGCTTTGGATCAAACTTCAGTGTCGTGCATTTTTTCTTCTGTTAATAATGTAGACCACAGTGAATATCTGGATTGATTTCCTCTGTGACAAAGCAAGTAGAATTGTATTAATTATTACTGCCCCAAATTTGCAAGTTATTTTTCCAGTTAGGACATACTTCTTTTTAATTATGGTCTTATTGATCTGAAAACATTTACTACTATGGTACCAAATACTTTGGCAAGGGTGTAAAGGACTTAGTCATTCATCAGTTGAAAAGAAATCATCTTACTAGTTCAGATTTATCTGCTTCAGGCTTTCAGCTAAATCAGAATGTTCTGTTGTACTCTGATATGTTTCTAGAAGTATAGGAATAGAAAGGTAATTTACTAAAATGATCATCTGGCTACACAACCAGTATGCTGCAATAAATGTCATTAAAAATGTAAGAATGTAGAATGTCCATATTTAAAAAAATCATGTTTTCACAAATCATAACTGTAAAAAATAGACATGTAACTTGCACTGAAATTAGGTCTGAGTCTTTGTTAATAAAATTCATCTGTAAATTTGGTGTAAGAGACAATACAAAGTGGGACCACAAATTTTAAAAAGAGGAACAACAAAACCCCAACTGATGAAGTCATATCCTATTTGACTGGCTTTTACTTAATTATTCAAAATAAGAAAATTCTAGGGTGGAGACTTCCTAGATACAAACTTCTTTAACAAATATTTTTTTTAGTTATGTGTGGGCTCATTGTAATATTTGTGTGCTCTAAAGAACATGCAAAAATGAATTGTAACTAGTTGTTTGATCTTATATAACAAAGGCTTATGAAAAATAGCAATTTAGAAAGTGGCTCAGGAACAGATTAGGTAGCCCTATTATGGCAGTAGAAATGAAGGCAGGAAAGGACATTGGAATAGCTGTAACTGCTTTTACTGTCAGTTTTGACATTTCGTCTTTCCTTTATGAAAGCCCATAAAATGGTAGACCAAAGTAAATATGCTGTATAATTTGTCCCTCTAAGCAATTCTAGTCTCCTTCATTGATCAATGTTGTTTACATATATATATATATATATGTGTGTGTGTAGCATGACAAAAAATGTGTGCTTGCTGTAGAACTCATGGGGTTTCAGAACAAAGTGCCAATGAACCAATGAAGAGCTTGCTTTTTATTTTATGTAAAATGCTGCAGGTAAAAAACTTGATCATATAGCTTTCAGAGTTAGGGATGTGAATTTCATTACCTGAATTTGCTTATCTGGAGAACAAAACCTTGACATGTGCCAAATGTAGCAGCTCATTGAATTTACTACAAAGTACTGTGCAAATCACCACCAAAATATGGCAGCTTTGTCTAAAGACAATACAAAAAATTGCCTTATTTTGTTACATAGTTACAAAAATTAGTAACACTGAAGAGCATTTCCATATAGACAATGCATGTTTTACAGTAAATAAAATTGGATTTTTTTAAAAGAACTTCTATTTAGAACTTGTATTTTCACAATCTGTGAGGCCCCATTATTGAAATTATTTTTTTTTATACTTAATTGCAGACAATATTTGTCAGGTAACCTGACCCACTGTCCAGAGTACAAAAAAGAAAATGGTTTAGCCAATCAGCTTCCAATTATATTCAATTGGAAACACCTTGATATAGTGAATTTTAGGTGAAGTACATAGGTGTATTGTTTACTGGGGTATGCATAGTTCATTACATTAAGAATCCATCAATAATAAATTCAAAAGTTTCACCTGATTTTTAAGGAATATTAATCTTTCATTGATTCTTTCTGCAAGTATATTGTATAATCAGATTTTCCATCTGTTGTCTTGGCTCTATATCTTTCACACGTTTGGTAAAGTTAACTGGAAGTGAAATCTTCTTTTCTTTTAAATCTGTCGTGCTGTCTTTTTGTACTGAAAGTTTTCCCTTAAGTGACTAGAAGTCAATTAATCTTTAGACTTTTCAGGAAAATTCTGTGTAATCATAAAAGCGGCAATGATGAAACATTGTTTTCTAGGAGTTGTGTAATATTATGACTGGCTCATTTCCAACTTACTAGAGAGGCTGTACTCTCTATTGCTTAAGGGAACTAAAATAATTTAAATCTCTTGATTATTTTGTGGAAATTGAACAAAACCATAATGATGGTGAAAAATTAGTAATATCCTTGACTCAGATAAGGTGACTATTTTCCCATTCCTAATTTTGTGCTCTAGACTTTCTTTTCTGTATGACAAGATTACTTAGATCTGGTCCATAATTCAGCTATGAATCTTGGGCTGTCAGGGTTTAATACTTGTTTTTCTGTGCTTCATTTTTCTCCACCCTTCTATGGCCTTCTGAAGTATCTTTAGCATAATGGAAATGTTGGTTGGAAAGGACTGATAGAGGTTTTCTAATCTAGCCTCCTCCTCAAAGCAGAGCAATCAGCAAGAGCAGTCAAACATGACTGTGTTTGGCTGGCTCAACTGACTCATGCCAACCTCCAGGAGCTGAAGTTTTACAACTTTTTGTGAAGCCTGCTCCACGGCTGTGATGCCTTAGTGCAAAATGTTGCTTCATATCTAGTGTGAGCCCTCAAAGCTGCTGGCTATAATTTACTCTATCACATCAGCCCCACTGAGAAAATTGGTCAGTGTTGTCTTTGTAATTACTATTTCGGTGGTTGCAGACTGCTATTACATGAATTGATGCTTTAGCCACCTCTTCACCACAGTAAAGGAGTCTAGGGCCCTCAAACATTTTTTTACAGATTATTCAGTTTAGTCTAGTCTCCAGTTTCCTCACGTTCTTCTTGAGGGCCCAACAGCTGGACAAAATAGTCTAGGTAAGGCTTAAATTGTTGCCAAGCAGATGAAATAATCTTTGTTTTAGTTGCTGTGTTCCTTCTAATACAGCCCAGTGTGTGGCTTGTATTTTTTCTAGTGATAATACACTGTTGCCTTTTCTTCAGTGCCCTGCTGACCATAAACCCCAGGTTTATGATTGGGTAGGGTGGCACTCAGACAAGTCAGTTCCCAACATAGGTTATTGTAATTCTGTAGTTGAAGTAAACAGTTGCTCTTTGCCTCAGTCAGTTTTGTGAATTTCTGTTGGCCCAGTCATCCATGAGTAGGCACTCAGCTGTTTGTTGTGTTAACTACTGTATCTGCTTCCCCCACTTTAGTGTCACCTGAAAATCTGCTAAGCAAGTGTTGTCTGTCGGCTTTTGTTGGCATTTTTGAGGACCTGTTGAATGAGTCTCTAGAATGTGCTCCTCAAATCTATTGAGTGTTGCTATTTTCTTGCTGCTTTCTCAAACCTCTGAAATAAGAAGATTCTCATAATTCTGAATTTGCAATCATCATTGTTTTACTTTCAACAAGATTATTGTCAGGTACTCAGTAGCTGGGGTTTCATGTAGTGGATCATACAGTTTCATTACTGCCTGTGAATGCACAGGAGAGTCCAATGCCATTCTTTACTCATAAGTTTGTAGAGGAATAAATTACCTCGGCCTCAAAGTAGAGACTGTCTTCTGCCTCAGATTCAGGGTTGGTCAGTTTGGAGCAGATCTATTTTTCTTCCTGTTTTGATATTCTTTAGCCTTTTGTACTGAGTAGACAATGATAAGTCATGTAAAGAAGAATATAAAGAGTAAAGTGGATGCAGCCTTTAGTGATTTCATAGTATGAATTGTTAGATCTTATTTTCTCAACAAGAAGTTGGGTAAATTATTTAAATGTTGTAAGAAGCATATAGAGAGCCTATTGGCAAAATTGATCTATATTGTTGTAAATTCAATGTTATTCAATATTAAACACTGAAAATATTTCTCTTTAGTATATGAGTTATAACTCATGAAGTTGCTTTTTAGTAATGTTTATTCCTTATACAGAGAGAAATCATACAAACACTTCAAATAAGTAGTGTTTGGATTCATCTTGCTGGCATCTCATTTCTTCACACCTGCACTCAGGCTTACAGGGTCAGTTCTCACCTTGTCATTCTCTATTGATGAATAAAACCAACTGTAACTTGAAATCTTGCTTTGTTATTAAATCAGCTGTCCAGTGCTTTGAGATAATAGGCAGCTGGTTTAGCATAACTTGAAACAAAAACAAATGTCCTACTACCTATTATTATACTTCTGTCAGAAGAGTAGTTGAGTTCAACAGTCTGGCACAGAGTTGGGCTTTCATAGCAAGAATTACCTAGCCAGCCATGAACATTAAGAAATGCTATCATGAGAATTACTGTCTTATCATCAGAGACTTGGATTTTTTATTGTATTTGAAGTTATTCTAATATTTAAACAATCTTTAAAATCATCAGATTATCTCTGTCTCACTTTAAAAATTTCTGTAGAGATTTTGGTATAAGCAAATAAGTCAGAATCCAAAAATCTGCCCTGTGTTTCTCCTTAGCATACAGCTAAGAAGTCATACTTAACAAGCTGCTTTAGACCAGAATGCTGTCAAACAGTTCCTACACAACCAATACACAAGATATGGTCCTCTTTTTTAAATTAGATTGCTAACCAAAATGTCGTTATCACACTTTTGTGTAGGATGTTTGCTCTGTACTTAGCTATATTCAGAAAACAATATCTCAGTGGATGAGAGACAATAAGGTTTGTTTTTTGCTTTCATAATATTGAAATTACTATCCTTAAAATAATTCTTTTCAAGTTTGCATTCTTCTTTTGGCTACATTAAAATCTCAGCTTTATTTTTAATCTTCAGGTTTTCATGAATTCACAAAGAGCACAAATAGACTGTGCTAATCCTTCTGCTCAGATTTTTTTAACTTAAGATCTGTATTAAATTATTTCATTTTTTTTTAATTAGTAAGAATGGTTTCCAAATAAAACAGCCTATCTTTTGGAGACGTTCAGGAAATATACAGCTACCTTTCTTGTTGAAAAGGGATAATTCTCTCCTTTCATCTAATAGACATGTGGCTATAGTTCTGAATTACTTCAGATGAAAGATAAAAAATTCACTGCCAAGTAAGATGAAAAGTAAGATGCTTGTGAAGTAATAACTGTTTATATTTCATGGAGGATATATTTAATAGAGGCTGGAATTCCTCTCTGCTGGAATTGTAGGCAGTATAAATGAGAAGAAAAAGGGAAGAGGCCAAGGGGCATCCATTACTATCTCACATTATTGAATCCTATTGGTACTAGAAAGTTATACAAATACTAATAATTTATTACTGAAAAATAATTAAAGTCAAATATTAAATATAGAATCCTGTTCCTCCACATATATGTAATCCTATCATTTAATTAAATAATAAAATATTTAATTTTTAGTATCTGTAGATTTTGCCTCTCACATCATTTGAGTAAGTGAAGTATTGCAAAAGTGACATCTACTCAATCTAGTTCTTCTCCAGTCCTTTATACTTGAAAACAACCAGTACTCCATCTTTCTCAAGCCAGTGAAGGTCCAAAGCTTCTAGTTCAAATTTTTGTCCAGTTTAATCCAAAGTCTATATATGCTTGCATGTCAGTCAGTATAATTTCAAAAGATTACATATCATTATTATAGAAGTGTTGAAAATACTATGCAGTTTTGTTATTCAGAAAGAAGAGAGCTATAGAAATGAGTAACTGAAGATAAATTTGCTTATTGAATTTGCTTATTCAAACATAGTTTGAAAATGTATTATATAGGAAAAAATATGAAAAGAACTTGAATAACAGTTATTAGATACTGAGTTTCAAAGACTGAAAGTGAATAAAAATATAGAATTATATTTTTACAGTACATAGATTTGCAATTATGTATTTGCATACATATATTAATGGTATTTATCATAAGGTATTTTGTGTCTTCTATTCATTTATGCATACTTAGTAGTGATCCAAGGGGAATTTCCGACTCCTACGTAATTTGGAAATATTTGATTTCTTCCAGGACATTTCTGGATAATTCTGGTGAACATCTTCCTCAAGATTTTTCAGAAGTCTTTTATCATCCATTACACTGGTTATTTTGCATACCATCATCCTGTTTTTTCTTTCTCAAGTGAGTATCAAGAGTTGATTCTTGTAAAAGGATCACCAGATAGTCAGTATTATTCAAATATTGTTACATTTTAAAGAGCATATCTGAATAAATGTCTAACTAATACTCTGATTTTTAAAAGTCGTAAAATAATTTTTTAATTAATTACAGATTTCTCTAATCTTTGAGAGTCTGAAGAAAAGTTGCACTGAAAGCACTGTATTTTGCTAGTCTGTTAATTGTGTTTGATATTTGAATTATCTGTAAAGTTTTCTGGCTTTAATTAAAGAATATATAGTTCTTGATAATACAGAAACTCAGCACAGTTGCTGTTTTGAAGGACTTGTAATTAAAGGGGAGATAAAGAATGTATGCCTTTCTTTTGGGATTATTGTTTTAAAAAAATATTTGGAACATAAATAACTCATTGAACAATATGCTGCTTAATTGTAGTTTAATTTTTTTGGAGATTTTTGAATGATTAGAAGCAAAAGCTTTACTTTTCTGTGTCGCTGCATATAATGACAAGTGACATAGGAGATAGATGCTACCAGCTGTGCTGTTGTTTGGTTTCTAATTTTGAAACTGAAGCACTCCCACACCAGTGTAGATCCTCTCCTAACCCCTTCACCTCCCTCTCCTCATTTTTAAAGTTATTTCCTGAAAGGTCTTCACTCTCCATTTTCATGAAAAGCTGCTTTTGTGAGATGTTTTGTGAGATGTGTTTTCCAATAAAGTATTTTTATCTTTTGGAGGAGTACGTTATCAAATGAGTGGTGACCTATGGATGACCCATATGCTTGGGATTTATTACCACTTTCCTTGTACACATAGTATCTTTTACCTTGTTTATGAAAATATCTTCCCTATAATTTTGCCCTGTACTACACAAAACATGCTGATTTCTCTCCATAGGCTCCACTCCTAACTAGGTGTCATCAATCCTGTTCTCTCCTTCCCTAGTGCCTCTGATATCTGCTGAACCAGAGACAATATATGTTGTGACTGCATCAAAATCATGTGATTTGCTGACTACATGCCAAACAGAGTTGAATAACTGCTGAATTCAGAATGCTTGAAATAATAATTTAAGTTCTTATAAAGTCTGAAAGATCATGTGTGTTTATCAAGCTTCAAGGAACTTTGTCAGTGACTTTTTAAGTTATGCATGGTTGGAGAGAAAGGAAAAGGAGGGATACAGTAGAGCAAATGACTGCGTTAGAAAGGAATCTAGTCATCCATTTCTGGAAGATTTATGCTTCATTAAGTATTCATTGTAGAAAAGACAATACATTTTTTGATGCCCTCGTGCAAGGCCAGATCTCAAAATTAAAATTATACTGTGAAGTATGAGTTTTGGATGATGATTTCACAAGTGAGTACCCTATACTGTGTAACAGTATGTAAAGGAAATTCTGGTACCATTTCAGCCTGACATAATTATATTTTCAGAGATGGAATTAAGATAGATATGAATAAATAGCAGAAAACTATTCCAGAGCTATGTAGTATGCACTTATTTTCTGTGGAAGAAGGGTACTAAAATGCACAACCTCTTGGACAACAAACAGGAAAATGTGAAGTACAAAAGAAAGTACATCTCTGAGAAGATACAGTTAGTGTAGCTTTGTGAGAAAAATCCATATACAGAGAGAGCCTTGCATATTGTTCTGGTGATAATGAGTGAATTATATTGGTAAAATACTTAATATCCTTTTTTAACAACACACCTTTCAGCTGCTCATTAAAAAAAAAAAAAAAGTGAAGGACTCTATATCTAATGAGTAATTCTGAGGTGTTCTAGTTTTCTTCATTGATTTTATACTCTCTGTTAATGAAACATTTTTCCCCTTCATTTATCCCCTGCCTTTAGGACATTATAAAAAAACATCATATTTAAGTATTGCAGATAATTGTATTTCAGAGCACACTAATTATTCATGGGTTGTTTTCCGATTTTATGTATTATGTCTATTTAAAATACATGTCCATTTTCTCTAACAAAATTGGAAGCACAGGCCTTTGTTTACCTCTCAAATGTGGCCACCTAATTTTTAACTGACAACTCTAACTTGTCATACATTTAGCTATCTAGAATTTAGTCTTCCTAAGCTTGCTATTTCAAAACAGAATTTTGCTAGTTCCTGCAATTAATTTGTTTACTATGTAACTTGATTTCCTATGTTATTTTTCATTGCTGAAAATGACTACAGTTTGTTTAATTTTATCAATTTGACTCCAACAACAGTGTCAAAGTTGTTACCATGAATTAGCATATCTACTTGTCTGATAACATCTTCTAACATAATATCTTACAGCATTATAACATTCATTGGTATGTTCATTAAACTTCCCTTCCCTTCCCTTCCCTTCCCTTCCCTTCCCTTCCCTTCCCTTCCTTCCCTTCCCTTCCCTTCCTTCCCTTCCCTTCCCTTCCCTTCCCTTCCTTCCCTTCCCTTCCCTTCCTTCCCTTCCCTTCTTCCTTCCCTTCCCTTCCCTTCCCTCCCTTCCCTTCCCTTCCCTTCCCTTCCTTCCCTTCCCTTCCTTCCCCTTCCCTTCCTTCCCTTCCTTCCCTTCCCTTCCCTTCCCTTCCTTCCCTTCCTTCCCTTCCCTTCCCTTCCTTCCCTTCCCTTCCTTCCCTTCCCTTCCCTTCCCTTCTTCCCTTCCTTCCCTTCCCTTCCCTTCCCTTCCCTTCCTTCCCCCCTTCCCTTCCCTTCCCTTCCCTTCCCTTCCCTTCCCTTCCCTTCCCTTCCCTTCCCTTCCCCTTCCCTTCCCTTCCCTTCCCTTCCCTTCCCTTCCCTTCCCTTTCCCTTCCCTTCCCTTCCCCTTCCTTCCCTTCCCTTCCCTTCCCTTCCCTTCCCTTCCTTCCCTTCCCTTCCCTTCCCTTCCCTTCCCTTCCCTTCCCTTCCCTTCCCTTCCTTCCCTTCCCTTCCCTTCCCTCCTTCCCTTCCCTTCCCTTCCCTTCCCTTTCCCTTCCCTTCCCTTCCCTTCCCTTCCTTCCCTTCCCTTCCCTTCCCTTCCCTTCCCTTCCCTTCCCTTCCCTTCCCTTCCCTTCCCTTCCCTTCCCTTCCCTTCCCTTCCCTTCCCTTCCCCTTTCCTGAAACCAAAATAATATGGTTGGTTATCAAACTAAAGAATTACTGATAATTTATATTACAGTTCCTTTAGTGATCATTTGGTGCTAACAATCTTATTTATTTATTTATTCAGATAAATTTATTTAGTTACTAATTGTGATTCCTTTATTGCTAATTGTGATTCATTCTTTGCCTCATTTTGTCTCATTTGCATTTGCAAATCAAAGTTGGAGCTTTTTCCTTCTACTGTACAAAACAGGACATTTATATGTATGATATTTATATATACTTCACCTTTTGTTACTTTTTATGAGGTTAGTCTTATTTTCACTAGTCCTGAGCTATGAGGATGAGAGAACATATGTTTCTCCATATGCACGTTAGAAAACTTCTCAGTGCATTTATTGGTGCTAGCTTCATGGCTGTAGGGAATGTCTGCTATATTTTATTTTTCCTCTAAGTGAGTCACACCATTGTACATTTCAATTTGCAAGATGCTTTAAGAGCCAAGAACTGGTGTATATTACAACATGATAACTTCCCATCTGGTCAATGACAGACAGGTTTTTTTTCCAATTCAGATACTCTGAAAACATAATTTATTTCTATAGGAATTTAAAATATTATTCTTAATAAATCTAATTGATCCAACTTGTCACTTATCTTTTAGTTTGAAGGTAATGAATGACCCTATTAGATGGGATAACATGACATTTAAAGAAGAGAAAAAATATTAAACTGGCCTGAATATTTTAACTGAATTAGTGAAGAGTTAAGTTTGTTCTCAGCCATAGCATTAATTCTAGTGTAAATATAGTAACTGTTTAAATTTTAACTTTAATTACTAACTACTTATTAGATTATATATAGATTACATTTGCATTATATAGGACTAATCTTGAACACACAGAAATTAGGATAATTATTTTAAGAATGCAAAATACTAATGTCTTAATGCCATATGTATTTTAAATATGGAGAATATATTTTAACTGCAAGTTCTATCAAGATTTAACTGTATATGTGTGTATATTTTTGATAAATATTGCTTGAATCCAGTATGTGCTAATATTCAAATATAATTGTAGAGGTTTCTTGGCACAGACATTGCTTATCAAGTTAGAGGTATTTGTTTTAGTGTTGAAAGAGAAAGGCTGAGCTTCCTTTACTAAAATTACTATTACAGTGGAGTTTTGTCATAATAGTGGGATGTAAGGGCCCTGCTGGGAGATGGTGCTATGGTTTCCTTAGGTGACTTCAAGGCTGCCCTGCAAGCTATGTGGCATACTGCTTTTTCTGGTAATGGAAACACAGATATATGAGGGACTACACTAGAGGAGTGTATCAGCTGACATTTTCTTTTCCGGGACTTGTAGGTTTGTGTTGAGTATATTGTATAAATAGCAGCTTTGATTCAACAGTGAAATACATGTGCAGTTAATCCATTTTTTTCATGTGTGCATTCAAGCATATTTGGGAGGTGGCACACTTTGTTAAGTCAGAGCTTGCGAAAGCATGCAACTTAATGGAGAGGTACCCCTCTGTTAGAACTACTACATGAGCCCATTTTAGTTCTGTCCCAAAAGTTATGTGTAAATGGCACATAAATTGTTTGAGCAGAGGCATATAAATACTTCCCTAGTCTGACAGAAAGATGTCAGATTGAAAACCTCCCTATGAAGAAGGTTTTAACTGATGCTGAAGTTGTTTTTTGCATACTAGCAGGTAATAATATATCTGCCCAGTCAATGCATATGAAGTCCTTAAAATCAGGCATGTAAAATGTATATGTGCATAAAAGTTTATGAGGTGTATAAAGTTTCAATGTTATCAACTGTTGTATAAACTTGTAGCCAAAAAAATAATACAGCGGCTAAACATCAGTTGAAATTTCATTTTAAAAGAATCTTCAAACTGATAAAAACTTACACATTAAAGAAAAAAAAATTGAAAATCCAATTTTGAATTTTTTTTTTAAAAATGCTTCAAGAAAATGCTAAATACCATAGGTGATAAACATTTGGCAGGACAGATTTGTTTGTTTGTTTTTCATTTAACTCTAATGTGAGTTCAGTGATTGGTGTTGGGTCACTGGCTGTGTTTGGAGTAAGCCCTGGAATAATATTTGGAAATCTCAATTTTTGCAGAACATGGAAATCACAAACAGAAAATAAACTGCAATCTTTTTAAAAGCTAATGGATTTGTACTGTGCTTTTTCACTTCTCCCTGCTGGTGAAGCACCAAACCAACTAATCTAATATTTCTTGTGGATTTTTCAGGACGCATAATAATTGCTCAACTTAAACTGGAATTTTGCACCCCCTCTGAGCATTTTCACTGCCTTTTACTTAAGCGCTTTATACACTTCATCAAGGACAGACACTTCAGATCTCTTACTCAACAATTACTGCAATAAGATACTAAAAAATTATACCCTTGCATTTATTCAACTGCAGGGGGAAAAAACCCTCCTTTTTGCATTGTAGAACAAAATATATACTGTTCCATGAAAGAGATAAACTCAGTTGTTTTCTATCAGATTTAACTGTGGCAGACTAACAAATGTCAATTTGCTTTTAACTAGTTGAAATTAAGTGCAATTCTTTCTCTGAGCTGCCTTAAAGTAAGGAAGCATGTAAGCATTTTCAGAGTAATCTGGGAAGAGTTCGTACTTAAGGGATTTAGTGTTACATCTGCAATTTAAGGATATTAATTTCATAGATAAATTAACTATATTATTCTTCCTGTCTTTGTCTTATATTTTGAAAGGACTCCATCAGCCAGAGAAATGGCAGCCCAAGGTCTTCTGAAGCTGCTTTTATCCCAGCCATACTGTAATTTGAACTTGCTTTTGGAAACATTGCTACACCATGATTGTCTCTTAGTGAAAATTTTGCTAAGAAGCTCAAGTAAGTATTGATCTTGTCAATCCATATAAGAATATCAGTAAGAAATACAAATTAATTTTTAACTACTTAAATGCTGAAGGAAGGCTGACAACCATTTTGAGGGCTAAGTACCCATTTACTTACCAGTAAGACATGTATTGAAGGAGTAAAAAGATAGAAAAATCATCGCTTTTTAAGTGAGAATTTACGCTCAACCAGTGTATTAATAATTTCAAAGCAAACTGCAATTAGATAAAATAGGCTGCTGTCATTAATGCAAAAGAGTCAAAATGTATTTGAAATTTATGGAGTTTTGACACAGAAACTCCTGTACACAGATTTTTAAAAGTGTGGATCTTTTAGTAGTCTAAAAGAACACTCTCAAAATTATATTTGAACAGTGGAAAGCTTCTTAGATATTTTGTTGATATTATTATATGCTTGTCTCTGTAGGCATTCTAGAATTACATATATATGCTTCTGCTTGTTAAGTCATTAATGCTATTTTGAAAGTAGAATAAATAAAAGAATTTGAATTCTGATGGTATTGAGTTTGAAGCGACAAACTTTATCACATCTTTCCATTAGTAGTTTGCAGATCAAATGATTGTATTGTTGAATAGCTAATGGTAGAATCACCTGTTTGACTTAATTTTGCAGGAATATGGGAGTCTTGGTTTCTTTATTTTTTTGGCAAACAAATTCTTCCTGTTTATCAAAAAAATTATTACGTCCACATAATATTTAATATATTTATATTTTATTTTTATGTTTTTATCTGTCTGTCTATCTATCTGTCTATCTATCCATCTATCTATCTATCTATAACATGATTCAGTTCTGTCATTTTGAAATGGTCTAATATTTGTCAGGAGTACAACATCTTCTATTGCTGTCACGCATCTTATTGGGACCTGCAGTGCATACACTTGCCTACTCAAACACATGTCATCTTTTACAAAGGCTGACAAATGTTTGATCAAGGTCACAGCCTTACCCTGGTGTAATCCAGTATTGAGTTTTACTATCTGTTTAAATTATTACCAGTAATAAGTGACAGAATGTATTAGTCTATTGACTGACCAACCTCTTAAGCTTTAGGGAAATCTATGTGACTTTGAATGACAAAATGTGTTATTTACACTGGCTTTATTCATGTAACTTCAATATTGGAATGAATGAACTTCCAGTTTAGATAAAGTCAATATCTGTAATGATCCATATAATCTAAATTAATTTCAATGGGGTTAATTGTCTAATGACAAAAATATGTATTCTTTATTCCCTCTCCTGTACAGCTAAGTATATCATAGTTTTTGAGCAATTTGCCCTGGTATTCAATTACATAAGAATTTTTTAAGAAGGAGGAGCTTTTTCACATATTTTGCATTCAGTCTTTTCCTTTTAAAAACAGGCCAGAAGGCAAAAAATCTTAGGTATTGATGAATTTTCCTGTATTGTTTTAATGCTTTGGGAGGCTCAAAGTAGACATCATTCAAACACATTACATTTCATTGTAGTCCCATTGTTCTCATGGTTGTATTCAGAAGGAATGTAATTCCCCATCATAGCAAGGAGTACTGCTGGGAATGCCAAAGATTTTTTAGTAGAAAGAGTATTTGTAGAGAGGCTATGTATGCATGATTCATGTTGCTAAATGCTATAAGAAGGATATTATATTTGTTGAAGCTATTAAAACTCCATGTATATAATTATATACTAACTGGACAGGAAAATGATATATATAATATAATATAATATAATATAATATAATATCATATCATATCAATCATATCATATCATATCATATCATATCATTATCATATCATATCATATAATATAATATAATATTATACTATCTGGACAGGAAAAAAGTGCAGTTTTGTCATTTTTTGTGCATTATGATGTAAGAAATATATATAAAAATTTAAATATGGAAATACGATCTTTATATTTATATTGTGTCAAAAAATACTAAAGGTAATGAATCACAATTCCCAGAACTGAAGCATTTATTGTGCACATGACTACAGTATAGAGGCAATTTTGAAAGAAAATAATTGAAAATTTTGATTTGTGTATTTGACCTCTGTAACAAGCTATGAGTCTAAATAACCAAGGTGTTTTAAATTACAATGTCATATAATCCTAGAGTTTTTTCTATAGGTCCAACATCCAGCAACTTTGTTCAAGACGTTCTTGAGTATGTAAAGGCTCTAAGGTCTGTGTTGTGACTTTTCAGAGAGAAATAGTGAAGGTTGCTGCTACTGTGTTAATCTTCTGTCAAAATAAATTATTTTGCAATTTACTTGGCACATTGTTTTAACCAATACTGTCTTATCATTCATGGATGTGAAATAGAAGTGGATTATTTTGATAAGCAACACATAATAGAGGAAAAAAGGAAGTGGTGCCTGTATAAAATAAGTAGCTGAATCCAGCAGATGCTGACATGAAAATGTGAAGGATGTAAGTGAATTCTGAGCATTTCTGCTAGATTTGTACTAAATACACATAATGCCAGTGGAACAGTCTGTGACTTCTATTTTGATAATCATTATTTCCAGGAATCAGGAGTTTTTCTTTGCACAATAAAGCAAACAGCAATAGGTTTATTGGATTGCACTGGCCCAACACAGTATTAATATTTGTCAGGGGATCCCATCAGACAGTAGACACCTGGCCACTTATGAATAGCAGAATTAGTGACAGTGGTCACTAAGAAATTGTCACTGGTAAATTGTCAACAAGGCACATTCTAGACTTTCAGTCAGTCCTTGGGTCTCATACATTTGTTTAAGAAGAGATAGTAGTATCAACTTGATGATGAACAACAGAAAATGCACTATGTTGCTTTTTAATCTTCAAAAGAATCTTATTCATTACCATAAAAACTTGAGATTTCAGTTGTTAAAGAAATTTAATTTTTCTTTCTGCAAACAAATTTAAAGTGAATATTGGCATGCAGAGATAAACTGTAAGAAATCTGCTTTCACAGCAAGACCAGGCTGTTGGCAGTTTCACCTAATGTTTTTGGCTTGCACAATACATATTTGAAATACTACTAGGAGATAGTATTGTTTAGTCTGTACATATCATCTTAGGTTATGTTCTTGGCCCCACTAAAATTTTGAAATACGACTTTATAGTAACATTTACAAATATTCTGTATTAAATCTAAGGCTGCAAATCTGAAACTGGACCCAAATAAATGTGGTTTTCTTCAAAAAGAGGTCAATTAGCTTGCACACATAAGAAGGCTGGGGGCGGGAAAACTACCACCAAGAAAATATAATTGTATGGTGCACCATTAGACAACTTTCTAGACACTAATAGATATGAAGAGTTTTCTAGGACTGTTTTTTTGTTACCCATTTTCTGGGAAGAGAACTTGGAAATGTTATAGTAGAACTGGAATTTTTTCCCCCCACTCCAATTCTTTGCTCTCTTTGAAACAGTTCTCTGGTTGCCACAATGTATAATGTGTCATTTTAAGGTTACTTTTAAATATTAATTAATTTTTAATCCAGCTTAATTAATTACATTTTAGACACATAAGAGTAAATAGCACTTGTCTTTTGTGGTTTACCCTAAAAGTACAGTGAAAAGTGGTAACTTCACCAATTGACCCCATTTAGGAGACTGAACTATTAGTGGCAGTAATGAGTTATTACAGAAGGAAATGAACATACCTTACATGGATTACCAACTCCATCAAAACTCTGCCATTGTTAAAAGCTGTAGCTATTTTACACTTTTATTTCAAGTTCTTGAGGGTCATTCCTTTTTCTTGTACTTTCATTGTACTGTCTTGGACTTCATTATACTTTCTTCTAATGACTCCTTGGATTTAATAATCCTGTCATGGTCTATCACATAAGTGCAAAAACTAGCAACCATTCTAGTCCCATGGCTCAACCATACACCATTTTGGGAAAAGTAGTCTTGCAGGTGTTGGTCACAAAACTTAGAGTAATTTGTATCTTTGTGCAGAAATGGATCTGTCCTCCCAGTATTTGTGGATCATCCAATATAAGGCTCGTGGGTACCTCTGAAAGTTTTCTTAGCCTCTTTATGATAGCAGTCTGTGTCATGGTAGCCTAATGGTTGATTAGAAGATTACTTTAAAAGAGGCACCTCCTGAAAAGGTCCATTTGATCAGTAATCTTATTGGATTCTGTACCTGCATAACCAGTGAAGGATGTACTGAAGTGAAACACTTCTAGCTGGAAGATAAGTAAAAAATGGACCTTAATACAGATATCCTATTCCATTTGGTGATTTTCCAGTGATAAGCTAGAGAAAACATGAAGCTTCCAGAAACCTAAATAGGATTTTCTATTTGGACTGTAGGGGACCCCTACTGTGAATACCTTAACTTTTCTTTACAGAGTGTGAAGATAGTGTCTAATACATGGATAGACTTGGTGTCTGTGATATATAGTCATATGGATAGCTTTTCAAAGACTTAGTAAGTTCTGATAGGAACTTCTTGCTACAGTAGAGGTCTAGTCTGTGTAAGTTTTAAGAAGGTAAGTGTCCCAATACATGTAGGAACACAAATGAGCTAATGTGGCTATAGGACTACATTCAGTATTGCCTCATAAAATTTTGGCAGTCAGAATGTCACACTTGCTGCATGGTATCCCATAAAATCATTACTGGAGGTATTCTGACAGTAATTGGTTTCTTCTATTGGTCTTAAGGTAGATTCTACGGAAGTTGCTAACTCAGAAATGCATTAATGGAAGCTTCTTCTCATGGAGTTGCAAATAAATTGTTGAAGGAGAAAAAATTCTAAATTGAGTTGAATGAAATTAAAATGCTGTGGCACTGATGACATATAATGTATATCTACAGAAGTAGTTTGCTGATACAGTAATAATTTATGGGCAGATGCTATAAGCATTGTTAAAGCTTTTTTGCCATGTTGAGCTTTATACTTGTCATAAATTTAGGATTTATTTACTTCACAGGGAGCAGCTAATATAGGGCTTATTATTATTTGGAATGTATTAAATTGGTAGGTTTACAGGTAGGTTTAAGAGCTAGGTTTTATTCAGGATAGGAGTAATATGATCCTGAGATCATATTACTGATTTTGGCTGGTTAGAACACAGTGCTGTTTGCAACAAGGTTGTGGGTTCAATCCCCATATTGGCCATTTGGACTTGATGACCCTTGTGGGTCCCTTCCAACTCAAGAGTATTCCGTGACTCCTCCCTGAATCTATAATGTAAAATTTCTCCTTGGAATTTAAAACTAAAATAATACACTTTCTGCCAAAATGAAGCCATGTTCAAAGTTACAATAGATTATAGCTGTTATTGGAGATGAGCAACTGTAATAGAAAAGTAAAATGATCTCCCAGGTCAGATACAGTGAAAGAACAGAAAAAAAAGTCAGTGACAGAAGCAGCACTGAGGATGTAGTGTACTGCAGACTATCTGCTGAAGTATTTGACTCTATAAACAAATAAAGCATATCCTTTTTGCAGTCTTTATATCCTCATAAGTTGATGTGGTTTAAATAAGCCTTTAATTCAGTAAGGAAAGCAAAAGTTTCATGCTTCTTGCTAATTAGAGAACAGTATTAGAAATAATTTGTTCCATCTTCAATTCATCTTCCTGAGTGAAACAGCATATATGACTTTGAGTTTTGACTGCCTCTTTTGGTCAAAAAAGACAGCATAACTGTTTGTATCTTGGCTGTCATGTATGGATTGACTGGGGAGGGTGAGGTCTAGAGTCAGTAACAGGATTTTCTGAATTCAACAAGATTCATTTTATGACTAGCCTAGTCAGACGACTGCTAGATGAGTGATAATGTTGGCAAATTACTGGGTGGTACTTCTATCAGTAAGAAAGAAATGTGGGTAATTGCACTTGCAAATCTGCCTTTCTGAAGTTATGCTTTTCAAATACGTGGTAGTATCCCAAGAGATTGTGCATTATTTTTTCATAGGAAGAACGATTCATTGTGAATGTTTAGGGCATAGCTGTTATTCAATAGATACATAATGTTCTTATAGAGATATTCATTAAAAAGGGCGGTATTATAATATGTTTTGGTATCTTTTTGGTATCTATGCATATAGAACATCATGCTATATGGAAATAACAAAGAGCTAATTTTTTTATTTTAGCAGGTATCTAGGTAAATACATAACCACATTTATGTATGAATGGTAAGTCTTGCTAAAATAATATAGAGGCATCTCCTTTGAGCTACCTATGGGAGCTTTAGGTTCCCTTCACAAATTAGCTTTTGCTATACAAATGCGGTCAGTGACAAAAATAGAAATGTATAGAGGGAAGCATCACAGGGCAGTATGTATCATATCTATCATATAAATTCTGTACTATGTAATAATTAACAAGAAGGCTGCATTGGAGTTCAAACTGAGATGACTATTTAATGTTATGACAGGTGAGCTAATAAATATAAAAGAAAAAATCTAAGGCAAGAAAAAGCTGTGAGTGAATAAGTGGAATCCATTTGATTCTTCACTTAGAAGCATCTGGAATTGAAAACAATATATGTCAGCTCATTCAACTCATAAGAAAAATAAAGCCGATTTAAAAACTGTCTTATTGCTGATCTGTCTGCTGCCTTGGGGAAAAAAAATCCACATATTATTGGTTATGAAATCAGTGATCATGTTTTTCAGCTTTCTGCATCCTCTGTTTCTGCTAAGGTTGCATGCTACCTAGATTGAATGATTTACAGTAATGGATTAATTAGGTTGTAGGAATTCAGAAGAGAGTAAAATGAGATTTTTTGTAGTTCTCAAGTCATTCAAAGATGGGTTGAAAGCAATGATTTTCCATTATGGTAGATTTTGAAGACTGCCATCTTTATCCTCCACAGGTTGCTAAAGGGAAAGACAACGAAACTAGCAGAAAGCAATGACAATTTATAGTATAATTTTATCTAAATACTTTTTACAGAAACCACTGTTTTTGCAAACTAGAAATTTAAATTAAGAGTATTTAACAGGTTATGGCTCTGGTTCTCACAGTTAGAAGCGTATTTCACAAACAGGTGGGAAGCTCAGGTCTTCAACTTTAGCACAAGTCAAAGTAATTGAATTGCATTGATTCCTGGAGTTTTAAACACATCCTTATGTGTTATATGTGGGACATTGTGTTACAATGATTGTCAGAAATATTTGTAAATATTTGTAAGAAGTTCTCTTTTAACTCTACAATAATAACTACTTGTCTTTAAAATCTATAGCTTAGCAGGGCTGAGATTTTTTTTTATATAGAACTGTTTTATTCTGAATTTCATCTTACACTGAAAAACAAAGCCAGTACACTTTGGTGAATATGGAGCTGCTAATTTTCTTAGTTTTTTTATATCTAAATATGATTTTATTGTTTCATATGACTATTATATAAGGAAGAGGAGTTAAGCAGTATTAGATTTTTGACTGTGATTCTGTAGTTTAGATATTAATCTACTGATTAATCTTCAGTAAATAATAAATTTGCAATTACAATCTATTTCAATTTAATTTTTAATTAAGTAGGCATATTCTATAGTTTGAAAACATGCTTAAGTCTCTTTTTTTATTGGCTACATATAATTCAGGAAGACAGTCAACTGTCATTAGGCAGAAAAAGATCAGATATCAGTATCTGTGTTATTGTTTGAAATATTATTTAGATACACTTAGAAGTTTGTTTTGAATACTACTATCCATTACTGAGACCTTAAATTACTTGGAAATTATTGAAATCATGTTTTTGTTTATTTTGAAGGTAATCAAGCATTAAATTGTGATGAACAAGGTTCTCTCTTGGGACAGGAAAATAACAAAAACCCTACTCTGATTGAAACAATCTTCACAGTATTGTCTTACTGCACTTTATCGCCGAAATCTCTTGGCATTGCTTTTGAGTCCTACATGGAAAGGGAGCTGCTGTGGAACTGCTTATACAACATGACAGGTTTTTATTCATGTATTAATTTATTATTAAGCATTTCAAATCTGATGTTAAATGTTGCTCATTTTCAGACATGTAGTATTATTTTTACCATAATAAATCAGGTGAAAGTACGCTAGCTTACTTCAAAATTATAGTGTTTTTGAAGGGTTTTGTGCAGTCAGGCCATGGTAGGAATGGTTAAAATTTTGAAGAATGCAGAAGTTCCAGAGTTGTGTTGTTGACCAGGAGTCCAATGACCTAAATTGTTTGTCTTACCAGCAGACTGGCTGCAGAATGTTTTTGTAAGTCTTTAGCAGTAGAGATTCTTCATCTCTATGCATTAAACAGCTCCAGATTTTTTCCACAGTTTAAAAGTACGGAAGCATGGAATAAGTGAGGAAAAAGAGAAGGAAAGACTTCTTCTCATACTGAGGGAGAAGTAATCTGATAAGCATTTAGTCTCTACTGTCAACAGGCACTCAGCCTCTTAATTTTCTATTGAGGGAGAGAGCTGGCCTCACTATTAGAACAACTAATTATATCCTCAAGGCAAAACAATATTCAACCAAAAAGAGAGGTGAGGTTTAGAAGGGTGATATTGTACATTATGGATTAAAAGCTCAAAAGAAGTGGATTAAAATGGGAAAAGGCAGGAGGGGAAATAGAATTATGAGCATCACAAAATAGAAAAACAATGATAAAAGTTCTCAGATACTTCTCAGAGAAAAGTGGGATTGCAAAAAGTAGAAGTTTAACACGTAAGAGGAAGAAAAACAGAGAAGTGATGTATGGAAGCTTCCAGAAAGACCATGATTAGATCAGCAAAAAGTAGAGGGAGGCAAAAGTATGAGCAAAGGATCTAAATATCCAACATGTCAAAACATCGCTCTGAAATGCTCGGCAAGAATCTGCTTGACAATTACAGCTCCATGACAATGGAGAAACTGCCGTTTGCTGTGGTATTAAGAATGTGGAGAAGATTGATACTTCTTGTAATGTCAATAACTGTATTTAGGATGGTGTGTTTTGAACATGCAATCTCTGATGACATGCTGTGTTTCTGTTGATGACCGTTATTTGTATGTATTTTTGTTTCCGAAATACCTTTCTTTTCCTTTACTGTCTTTGGTATAGCAGTTTGGGTATCTAATAAATGCAACTTCATTAATAATTTCAAGACAAGAAAGTAGAAAAAAAAGGTTTGCCTCATTGGTGCCTAAAAAGTATTTAAATGTTTTCTATATAAAAAGGAAGACATTGATCACCATAAATAGAATTTTTATAAATATGTCCGTGGAGAAATGAGAATGAATGGAATAAATTTATTATTTTTGTTAGAACTGTATTAAGATGGCACCAGGATGCCATATGTTTTGCATTATACTCTTTCTTAATTTGTAACAGACAAATAGGTCTAACTTATTATGACATAATGTTAATTTTTTTTCATAAGAATTCTGAAGACACTTTCTGAAACAGATTTACAACAACACTTTACTGAATAGTTAATATTTCTTCCTTCTGAAGTTTCCAGTTGTGGAGAGTCAGAGCCAGAAGTTATCAGATGCTTGAAGTTGACTTTGATTAATTCAGTGAAGGGTATAGTGAAACAGATAATTTCTTTGATGCATTCATGGGAGGCGACAGAAAACTATGGAACATACCAACACAAGCAAATAGTTCCTGAAGGTTTACTTAAAACTGTTCCAAAGGAATGGAATTACACTCCTCGGGAAATGAAGAGAAAAGAATCTGGGAAATGTAGGTGAAATTTATACATAATATTTATATATATTACAATACATCCTGAAAGCTTCTCATAATAACTTTTAAATCCTTTGCTCCATTACTCCTAAACTGGGCAAATTTCGTAAGTGTTGTAGCTTTACAATGAACAAACTATTTCCAAACTTCCTGTGGTGGTTGGGGTGTTTTCAATACTTTCCATTAAATTTCAGTTATTCTTTCCTGAGGCTTACACACATACATATACAAACAAGGTTTTTAAAATAATCAGTATTGTAATATTGAAAATAGTAGTACTGGAGATGTTTCCAGCATCTGGCAGTAGTCAGATGGGATTCAAAGCAAAGTGAAGAATAATGCCTATACTTTGGTCTCAATGGCTGTAAGCAGCTTTCCTTTTCATTATCATCTTTTTATTCAGGACTGTTATTCACCCCAAACTTACAACACAGCAATTTATGCTTGAATAAAGAAAAGCACTAAAACTTGTGTATCGCTATTTTAGGCTAATTGCTATGTGTAAACTGATAGGCAAACTGACTCCAGGCTTTAAAACAATTTAAATTTGTATGTGTGATATCTAGAACAGATATGGTTTCTTCTTTTAATAAAAGAAAAACATTTGGAATGCAGGTCCAATGACAAAGTGTTCTTGAATTTTTTGGAGATTGGTTCTTTTTCAAATCTTGACACATTTTGCTGTATTTTTAATTTTATATATGTCTTGGGTTTTGAGCAGCACAATTTCTCTGTAGTTGCCTTTATAGCTACTTTTATTATCTAAGGTCTTTAAAATGCGGTGTTTTCTAGTGTAGATGCTTATATGAAAGATGATAACCTGAAGTTTTGTCATTTTGATCATAGAATGGGATAAGAAACTAGAGATTATAAATGTATGTAATATTCTGATACACTTAGCACAATGCTTCAGCTGTGAAATTGAAAAATTACTACAATTTTGAAGACAATTTTCTACCATTCAGACTACCTGAGTACTGTCTTTCTCATGAATCCTGTAATATTGTGTACAGCAGGACTAATTGTAAAGAGAGTCACTGTCTAAACTTTGAATTTTCTGGTTTTAATTCATGCAATTGTTTTAATTCATGGGATTTATGTGCAGAAAGCATAACACAAGTGGAACTACAGTGTTGAGTACTTAAGCTTTTTACCCATTTTCAGCACAAAAGAAAGTTTGAAATTATTATACAACATTCAGAAGCAGTTAGAGCTATACTATTAATGTTAATCATATAATCTTTTCTTTCTATTTTTAAGGCTTCACAAGGCTTGCAGCTCAAGCGGTATCTATTGTAATCAGCAAGTTACCTACAGTGATTGCATGTTTGCCTCCCCCAATTAAATACTTCTTTTTTCTGGCTGAGAGAAAAATGTCAAGAAACTTTGCTGAATTGAAGAAAGCTGGTCTGCTTGTCTGGAACTTGATTGTAATTATATGTCGGATATTTGAGGATGGAAATACTGCAGAATTTTTAACAGGTGCAACACTTGACAGATGGAGCAAAGAAAAACTCAGTTTAGTTCGTGTGTGCTTAGAAAGTATTATGGGAAAACAGAAAAGTGGTCCTAAGCAAGTGACCCAGAAGATCATACAAAGCATTGAGCAGCAAAGACCAAACTGGATTGAAAGCCAGTTGCTGAAGGCAAGAAAATTGAGCATTGACTGGTAAGAACATAATATTTTTAAAATGCTATTACTTGCTCTTTATTTTACTGGATTATTGACGTGTTTATGGCTACTGCTCAGTTTTAAGGAAAAGAGATGAGCAGTGATCTTATGTAGAGCAGATTAGTCCTTACTGTTGATATACCATGGTTTTTTAAATTTAATTGGCGAAACACTAAAATGTGGTTGTTTCATCAGAACAGTGTGTTCATAGTACTACAAGATTTCATGTTATCTTGATGAGCCAAAATATGGACAAGTCCATTGTTATATCTTTCAAAATGTGAACAGGTACTAAATATATTCATAATTTAATTTTACTGTGGTGATTAAATTAAGACAAGCTGTGAGAAGCTTTCTGTGTTCATCTGTAAATATAAAGTAAGCATACTTTATTCTAAAACATATCAAACCCTTAGGCAAATAGGGTATATCAAAACAGGACAAGAATAATATCCTGCTGTGCCTTTCTGAGAAAATACCAATTTTTCCTTCAGATTTGACATTAAGATCTTTACAGTGATTTTTCAAGGAGTTGTGTACTTGTCAGTGTGTTCGTAGTCCAGTCTGTTTTAATGTTACAGTCATGTATCATTCTGTAAAAATACCATTCATCAACTTTTCAATATTAGATTGATTGGAATAACATGATTTACTGGATTAAATTGTAACTGCTGAAAGTAAGATTGCTATTTTTTTCAATGATTATTCTTGAAGGTTGCAGTTATTGCTGTCATGTCAGGATTTGTCCCTGTAAACAAAGGATACAGTGATTGTAGGTTGGAATCAATGATACCACTGAAGAGGTTTTCATACAGTGCTTTAAGGGATAGTTTCTTGTTTCTATGAGTAGTCAGTTAATGTGGGTAGCAGTAAGCAGTAATAATGTCACACACTCATTGACACTGACCTTTGTTATTTTTGCATTTCCATTTAATTCTAATTTATAAGATCTAATCAAATGATTAAAAGATTGAAGCCTGATGCCAGTGACTGATGGCATTATAGAATAAATAAGCATAATAATAATTTTTAAATTGATGCTTAACACAATGGTCACATAATATAATTTCTAATGTCACTGAGAAAATAGATGCTTCTTAAAAATACAAATATAGGAAGAGAATATTGTGGATAACATAAGCAATCTTTCAAGAGGAGATTTATGATTTTCATGAATGAAATTACTATATTGTAATTATATACTATGTACTATATTGACGCTATGTAACCATTCAATAATCAAATTATTTTCTGATTTAGCTGGATGCATGTGCATATATGTATACATATTTATAAATATTTATAGACTTCTAATAGATACATGAAAGAAAAAAACCCTATGAATTTCAAAAATTTATTTATTCAAAAATTTATTTACACATCCATAAAAACATTTTTGGAGTGTAGTGGTTTTTGAAAGTAAAATTCTTGCTTGATTTTTTGTTATGTTGTTATTATCAGGATTGCTATTTATATAAAAAGTCTAAATAATATATATTAACTTAATTTTAAAGAATATTTCAAAAATTATAGCCTTCATTGAAAGGCTCAGAAAACAGCAAAGGATCTTTGCGTGTCTTGTGTACTGCCTGGAAGTATTACTATTCATTAAAATAACCTTTACTGTATAGTAGTACGAGAGCTGTAAACAATCACGATAGATTCTAAAAAACACACATCCTGGGAAGAAAAGAAATGTCTGTCTTTGCAAAGTAATTTGTCGAATTGAAGATTATTGTTTTTCATCATGGTGACCCTGACCTTGCTGGCTGGGTGCATATACAGATTAAGATGAATGCAGTTATTCCTTGGCTGAGGTCTGCCTCTCTCAGGGCACATTCTTGCTAATGACATGATTGATAGGCAGTCCCAAATCCAGAAAGGAAGTCATTAATCATAGTGCTGCCTGAATCCAATCATCTGCTTCACCTGCGCAGTAACGGGCAGTAAAGAATACAATTTGGGTTCTGGCACTGATACATTCCTTTGTCAGAGGCCCTTAGCTTTTTCAATGTTAGTTGCTAAGAATTTTGACAAGAAATTCAGGTTACATCTGTATGTGGCATCAAATATCAGCCTTAAGTGTGCTTTAATTTAAAGATCAATTTCTTTGAAGCTTTTCTGTAAAGTACGCCGTAATAACATACTATCACTTACTTACATTCGGCAAAGAACAAAATTATAGTATATATTTTGAAACTATTTGCTCTGTAGGACATTCTGAAACTACATGTGGAAGCAATATCAGCTTTAATGTCTGGCAGCTGTGCAGCATTTCAGAGAGCCTGTAGGTCAAACAGCAACTTTCAGTAGGACTAACTGTGTAACCATGGCACACTTCCAACAGCAAGCTGCAACCACAGTGGTTTTGTTTTCAGGTTTTTGGGATTTTTTTTTTTAGTGTTTTGGTTTTTGTTTTACTTCTGAACAAATACAATAATGATTATTTAATTAATTGAGAATGTTTCTTTGGTTTATTTTAAATTAATCCTACAGTATCTGTAGAAAGGACAATATATTCTTGTTGATCTTTTGAGTTCTTGACACATACATGTCAAATACCTGTTCTGTATTTGAGGAAAATGTTAGTATTTCTTCTTTCTTAGACTTCATTGGTAGCAATACTAAGATAGTAACTTGTGGCTATATGCAGAGTCCGATAATGATCAGAGGTTTGAATGCACAATTGTGGAGGCATTTGGGAATGTCACTTTCAGATTTTCGTTGGTAGAAGTTTCACACAAATACAAAAAAAAAAAAACCCCGAGGAACAGTGTAGGGCAAAAAATGCAACAAGTGGCAAACAGGTACCTCTTAAATGGCTAACAACTTACCAGTGGGAAGAAAACTACTTCAATTTAAAACTTCTAACCTATACTTAGAATAATGGCTACCTTTCTGATCTGTTAATTAGGCTTAATATGTGCTGTGACAAGCAAAGAAAAATGCACAAGAGATCGAATATAAATGCCATTTCTAGTACCAAAGATACTTCTCTAGGGGAAACGAAAATATTTGCTACTTCTGTATCCTTAAAGAGTGTTTTAGGTGTTCATCTTTCCAATTAAGGTGATTAAAATTAGTATAATACTGTTATTTAAGATGTAGTATGTGAGATATATATGTAAAACAACATATGTCTAAGTCAAGTACTTCCAGGATTTTTTGAACATGTAGTTCTAGCTGAGTTCATATAAATAGTTTGATCTTTATTAATTTAACTTAAGACTGTATCTTTTTTATCTTCTAGTGCCTCAGTCACAGTTAAAGGTGCAACATTAGAGGAAGGAGGTATTGCACTTGGATTCACTGAGCATAATATAAACATGATGGTCCTGGATATCTGCCACAAACCAGGTGGTAGTGAGTACCTGAGGCAAATTTATCACATCATCCGACTCAATGAGGTAGGGAAATGGCCAATTAGGTGTGTACTGGCCTGGGGCAACATCTGCTGGCAGCTAAGGGTTTGTCAAGGAGATGATAATAGTTCTTAAAATCAATACAGAATCCTATATTGTATTTTGATAGAATCCATTCAGTTGAGGCTTTTGTGCATTTCTACAGAAAAGATTATGTTCTAGGAAACACTGTAGATTTTATTTAGGTACTTACACAGTAGTGTGGTTCATAAGTTTCATGTTGTAGACCATAGATTCTTTTTAGGAGTCTGAGCACAGTTAAAAAAAAAAAAAAATCAAGGAAGTATGTTGAAGAATTGACTGTTACAAAGGTAAAATTACACTTGGTTAATTAACTATCTTGATTTACGCAAACAAGCAACGCCTGTGGCTGTACTGAGGAGCTAAATGAAATCTTACTCAATTTAGACAATTCTGTTCAGCCAAAGTGCTTTTAAAATTACAAGATACAAATTCAGATTTATTTGCTGCATATGGAGTTTTGGCAATGTAAAAGAATAATTGTATTATTTCTAAGGCTGTTCTAAATTGCCTCAAGTTACCAAAAGCATTCTGATTTTATTCACTGAAATACACATATGTTTGTTTAAATTGTACAGTAGCACAACTTAATTTAGAAAGTTCTGGGTTTAGCTTTAATTACTAAATTTCTTGAATGCATAAGTAGGTGCTGTTAAGACCCTTGCAAGTGTACAGAAGTGTTTATAATAAAATACAAAATAATGCAAATATAGGCAGAGACCAGAAATATTCTTCTGAAAAACCTGGTAGCAGAAAACCCTGACTTGGAGAGCTATGCCTGTAGGAAGGCCATAGAGAGCACCTTAGTACTCACACTGTGCTTCTGAAAATAGGATCCAACTGTTTAGTTCCTAAGTATAGGCTTAAAAACAACCTGTATGAATATGCCTTTGGAAGCATCAGAAGCAATGAAAGCATATATATAGAGATGGCAACCTTACATTAGTACAGTACAGAATCTTTTCAAATTTCAATTTCCTGAACAATTAACTGGTTTAGGAAGTAAAGTGAAAATTATTACTGCAATAAACAAAACTTCTTCACCTGGAGAACATTCAAGATTACTCTTATGTATAAAGGAGTGTGGAAAAGACCTCCGAAAATAGCATGTAGACCAGTGCTTGGACAGTTATCTAGGGGACAGCATATGCAGGCTCAAATCTTTATACTTCCTGGTTTATACCAGGGAATTCAATCTGCATCTCCCATATCTGAGCTAATTCCCCAAACCTCCATACCATTAGCTATCAGCATGGAAGTCCTTATTTTTCCCCTGTTGGAATTGTTTTGCCAAGTAGAAATAGTGGTAAAAATGCATTCTGTAACTTTTAGGGTCAAAAATAGAATCATACTGTAGCTGAAGGAATAAAATGCACATGCTGGGTTTTGGAGACCCTGATCTAGGATCCAACTCCTGTGAGTATTTGGTTATTTATACAAAGTGGAGCAGCTCCAATAGGAGGTATGAGGCTAAGAGAATTAGGGGAAAAAGGGACTTCAGCCTGACTTTCCACATCCCAGGTGTCTCTTCTTGAATTTCTGCATCTAGTAAGACCCTTTTATAAAAATAGAACATTTCTCAGTGGAAAAAACTATATTGTTTTAAAAAAGAAGAAGAAGAAGAGAAATCCTGGTCAGCTTGAGTTACAGAAGGTTTTAACTATATTTGCAATTGCCTTTGAAACCACTACAAAACATTTTAATGCTTAGCATGGTATTATGATTGTGCACTTTTCAGTGTTATTTTTCAAAATCTACATTATACTTTATGTGCCTGCTTATCAAGAAATAGATTTGATTGTCTATTCAAAGATCCATTATTTTATTTAAAGACTCTTTGGAATGTCAAGGAATTGTGTTGTTAAAATAAGTTTAGAGATCTTTATGCTACACTGCTTAGTAATTATGTGTAAAAACAAAACTATGAGACAGAAAATTGTTGTTCTTAGTAATATTCCTTAGAAAAGCAGGTGAAAAGGGATATGGATTATTGGAAGCTGCGTTCGAAAATAGAGATATGATTTTATAAAAATTTTAAACAGTTTCTATAGTACTTAAAACAGCTTACAGCCCTTCGTGTGTTTGCCAAAAATAATAGTTATTTTTAAAATATTTTTTTAGTAACAACCAAAGAGGTAATTCTTCCGAGCTGTCAGGCTCACTAATATTCTGTATACTTGGTTTGATGCCCTGTACTGAGGGTATAGTTCACATGTTTACTGATGTGATTTCATATTTTCACATTTTTGAAACATGACCATGACCCTTTCAAAGCCTACAATATTTACTATACTAAAGGACATCTTAATATAATACATTTACTATTGCTGAATAATCTCTTCATCAAAACCAACTCCACAGTATTCTCTTAAAGACAGAAAAATATCTTTACTGAAGTCAGCTGTATACCACTTGAATTTTCTAACCCTGGCAAGCAGGTGTTACTGAAATTGGTCAAAATCTCCTTCCTAACACTACTGTAGCACTAAGAAGAAGACATTCTTTATTACAGTGCCAGATGCCATAGGGATCTCCACCAGAATTGTGCATATCGGGTACAGACAAGCTCCTGCTTTATATACTTTATTTTTCATACACATTCAACGACTTTCCCCGAATGAACCATTCATATAATCATCACTTCCTAGAGACCCATAACATGTCTTTCTCCCCCTCCACGCCCCCCGCCCCCGCCCATAAGCTTTGCACATGTGTTCGTCTGTCCCGGGGGTCCCTCTGGTGGTCTCTGGTGGTCCCAGACCTCAAAGTTACCCATTCAGTGAAGTGGTGCGGCTTTCCAAAACGGGAGCTGAGATGGCAAAACCAGGATGGTTCATTATTTTGTTAATGTTTAACGTGATCCTACAGACTATGTATTGTGCCGTTCTGTAGAACTACTGGTTTTGCAAAATAAGCATTGTGTTTTCACACCAACTGAGCAAATAGTTCGTCATCTGGCAACACATGGACAGCTATTTCCAGTATTGCTTCTGAAAAAGCAACACAATCTGCTTCTGCTGACTCTGTTACATCTAGAGGTCTAGGTTGCTTTAATCTAGAGATTTTGTAAAAATGTGTACATGGAAGGCAGTATATTTATGAAAATTTGGTAGATGTACAGAAATAGCTTTTAAATAACCTCCTTCAACGTGGCTCTGAAATCTTTATTATGGCATAAAGTAGTAAATGAATAAATGGGGAAATAAAAATCCAGATATTTTTGAAATGAAAAGGTGAGTAAAAATAGATAAAAGAGGGTATGTTTTCACAGGTGCTTTGTGATATTGTTTTAGGCAGAAAAAAGCTCAATTTGTTTTTCTTCTTTTGGTTTGTTGAGTTTTATTTCCATACACTAAGATAATTTTGTGATTCTCTTGGTCAGACATGACATTTGATTGCAACCAGCAGAGACAGTCCTTCTCTTGCCCTTGTGCTTTTCCACTCGTAGCCCTGCCCCCACCCCCCCACCCCCCACTCCTGCCTTTGTACTAGTACTAGAAATCATGTGGCTTGTTTATCTGGATGAAACCTTTTTTTTTCTCTGGCTGTTTCACAACATATGCTAGATATGCTAGTGCTAACACAAGGGAGGAACAGCTGCAGTTTCAGCTGTGGTCTGAAACTGAATTTGTGCCCTTCAGGTTAGGCCATAGTTGGGCAAGTTTAATGAGATGATGAAATTTTTCCTCTAGAAAGACCTACTAAGAGGCGCAGGATGCCTTGACAGGTAGTTTGCCTGTTATTCCATCTCAGTAGTACTGCAAATAAGAGAAGCATTTGCATCCACCCATCCTAATGACTCACCTTGTGTACTTGCTCCCTGTAATGGTCTTGATTTTAATAACAGTAAACTGTTTAATCACAGTAGTTATTCTATCAAATGGATGTATAAGTGTTTCATTATCTAGTTCTTCATAAGATTGTTCTATTTAATCACAACACTTTATTGGCCTGCAATGATTTATTTACACCGTAGTCGAAGAAGTGAAAACAGAAAAGTTGGTGTCCAAAATAATAATGCGTCTGTTACAGTATAGTTTCTAAAATTGCAATGCAAATCATACTGCTTCTAGTCCTTGAATGTTTAAGCAGCTAAAAATAGCTTTGAAGAGTGGGAGATTATTTATTTCCTCTCTTTAAAAAAAATGGTAAGAATATGTTAATCAAAGAATTGATTTATAGTCATATAGTAATTGTTGACTGTTTTCCAAAGTTTAATTCAAAAGACATGAAAAACATTTGTTGTCCTCTTCTACATAAACCTAGCATATATATATATAAAATGAGAACTTACACGCATAATTTGACAACAATTTCAAAGTAAAAGGTTAGATTGTTCTGTTTTGCTCAAGTTGGGTGCATGCTTTTCGAGGTTATTTCTTGTTCGTTGTAAAATAGTGATATTCTTAAAAACATTTCTATTTTTTAAGAGATTGTTAATTCCCCACTATATTGAAAGGAACTTCTTTCAAATTTGTGCTTGAAATGTAGGCAAATTTCACTTAGAAAGCTAGGTGGCTTGTATTATTCTGTGGTTGCTTTTTCTTCCAAAAGGAATATTTGAAAGAGCAGCTGTCTTGTGAGAACTCTTCTGAAGATGGTGTTACCTCGAGTCAATGTCAGCCTTTGATGCTGAAGGGCAGAGAAGAGCAACCTGTCTTCAACCCTTTCCAGGTGTACAGACAATCTTATGCAAAAGTATTCAATCAGGTTTGTGAAAATCTGAAACCTTTGTTAGAATATAATTTTTACTTGTTGGTATTATTATGACCATGGCAATGACAAAGACTGAATGTATGAAAATTGACTTATTTATGTGTATTCACATTTAATGAAGCAGAAAGGAATATTATTTCTTGGGAGTGTAATGAGGGTACCCTGTACAATATCACATTGTTCAAAAAGCCATTACCCGCCTTTTCTTTGATTGAAATTATTGCATGTAAGAGCAATTTGCATTTCCATACATTTTCTGTGCTCAATATAATGAGGGAAAGCCCATAGCAGCCATGATATTTATTACATCTGTGCAATAGTACATAGGGTTAGTCTTAGTCCTTTGAAAAATCATGTCAGAATTCTAAGTTCACTTCTATAATCTTCCTTATGGGTCTTTCACAGATATGTTGAACAGTCAAGTAAAGAATGCTTTAGAAATAGAGATTTTACAGAACAGTGAGACTAAGTGGGTTAAAACACACCACACACAAAAAGTCATCAATTTATCTGCTTTACTTTAAGTTATGCTTATAATATGTAAAAGATTACAGTTTTCTTATAGAATTTAGTTTCCTGATAATGGAACAGTTAAAAAAAGAGATCTAGTTGCCTAAATCTCTGCCAGAGCGTTCTATGACCAATTCATTATACAAAATGCTAAACAGTTTCTGATACCACTTTTACATTTAAAAAAACTTATGCCATTTTTTCTCATATATCCTTAATATGTCATCAACATTTTTTATTCCAGCATTCAATTCAAATATTTGAAAAGATGTGGTATTACAGTGACTCGAAATTCACTTTTCAGACTTGTGTGGAAATACATCCTTTTTCAGTGCAGCCCTGCTTATACGCAGTGTAATCTTTCCAATTTTGACTATTTTGGTCTATTTCATCAGTTCTATTGCTGTAAAATATACTTGTTTTTCTTACTTGTTTAATGAATGCTTAATCATTGTCATGTTGCAATAAAAGTGTTAATATCCTTAAAAAGGATACCCATACCACAAGGCTTCTCAAGGCTTTTCACTCCAGAGAAACATGCTTTATAGAATCTTTTAATCAATAGAATAATTTAATAGCTTGCGTTGAAAGGGACCTTCCTATCAAGAATCACAGAACCACAGGATGGGTGAGATTGGAAGGGACCACAGTGTGTCGTCTGGTTCAGCCTCCCTGCTCAAGCAGGGTCATCCTAGAACACATGGGCAGAGAATTGTGTCCAGATGGTTCTTGAGTATCTCCAGTGAGGGAGACTCAACAGCCTCTCTGGGGAGTCTGTTCCAGTGCTCAGTCAGCCAGGCAGTAAGGAAGTTCTTCCTCATACTCAGCCCAGAAAGCCAACGGTGTGATGAGCTGCATCAAAAGGAGCATGACCAGCAGGTCAAGGGAGTTGATTCTGTTCCTCTACTCCATTCTGGTGAGACCCCACCTGCAGTGCAGCGTCCAGCTCAGGGGTCCCCAGCACAGGAAGGACATGGAGCTGTTGGAGTTCAGATGCAGAACACCAAAATCACTAGAGGGACGGAGCACTTCTCCTATGAAGAAAGGCCAAGAGAATTGCAGTTGTTTGGTCTGGAAAAGAGACAGCTTTGGGGTGACCTAATTGCAGTCCTGCAGTACTTGAAAGAGGCCTACAAGAAAGATGGAGAAGGACATTTTACATGAGCATGTAGTGACAGGACAAAAGAGAATGGATTCAAAGTGACAAAGAGTAGCTTTAGATTAGATATTAGAGAGAAGTTATTTCCTGTGCAGGTGGCAAGGCACTGGAACAGGTTGCCCAGAGAAGCTGTGATTGTCCCATCTATTTAAAGCATTTTAGGCTAGGCTGGGCAGAGCTCTGAGACAGCTGGTCTAGTGAAAGGTGTGCCTTGCCCATGGCAAGGGCTTGGAACACAATGATCTTTCAAACCTCAATCGTTCTATAATTCTCTTCTCTGATTCTATTTCTAAACTTAATGATGTTATTAAATAGTTTAGTTTTCTTTACCATTAAATTGTACATTTATTTAGTGGTGGGGACTGTCCATTTAATAAACAGTGATCAGTATAATTGAGTGTCTGGTTTCCAATGAAAATTATTGCCAGTGCCTGTAGAAGATGCCAGAGCACTGGCAAGGAACCTTTTCTTATTCATTCACTTTCTGCTTTCTCAGTATTTTATTTTTTCTTGTTACCCTTATTTGCCCTTCATACTCTATATTTCACCTTTGTTTTTCTACTCTATTTAACATGCATGGCAAAGTTGAGGGATAGGGAGTAAATTAAGTAAGGAGAAGGAAAGTGATAAAATATAGATGGAAGGAATAGGAGAGATTGTAGTGATTCTACTCTCCCAGAGGAACCAAGTGCTGTCTGTAAGAAGAAAAAGATGCACTCCAAGTTATACTTTACTGTTATTTAGGTTTATTTCCATTGTTTTGACATGCTTAAACATTTTTTTTACTACTCAGTGCTATTTCAGTGTTGCAGCAGTAACTTCATACTTATTTCCTCCCAAGAAGATTAAATTATAGTCACTACTTCACCATTGCTGACAATGAAAAGGAATATTATGCAACAGGATTTACTTTTTTTTTTAAATAAGAATGTTGTATATGGTCTTTTGTCTGCCCTCTGATGATGTAGATTGCTTTTGTTTATTAAATAACAATATGGAGTTATATTTGTTCATCTTTTCTAGATTTAATGCTGTTAATAATACAGCATTAAATCACTCTAATTATGATACAGGTTGCTTCTTGTATTCCAGCTATACCAAATTTTTCATAACATAACTTCTTGCTCACAGCAGAAAATGCAAATTGCTGCTATATGAAAAGTAGCCAACTGTTTTGTTTTTTGGACAAAGAGTAAAGCTCTCAGACAGAGCAGTTGATCAGAATGCCATCAACAGTTGGAATAATAATGGTTAAAAAAACTGATTTATCTTTTTTTAAATAGTTTCTATGTCCCTAGTTAATTAATTGCCATTTTATTGGAATAAAAACCTTCTTCTGTGGACATGATTGATATCATCTTTTTAAGTCCTCATTCTAGACCCCCCTCTTTGGTCAGTAAATCACAGCTGGAGCTTTAGTGTACTGATAATATTAATACTGATTAATAACTGACTAGCTTCTTTCTATGTATCAACAGTCAGCCATTACTGAATGGAACTGGGATTGGTCGAGCTTACTGCCAGGTTACTTGGGACTGAATCAGATGGCCTTCAGGGTGCTGCTGACACACAGGTAATGGGATTTTGGCAAATCATCACATTTTCCTTTTTTATTTTTGACTTTGTAATTGTGAATACACAAAGATTTTAGTGGTGAAATTTGTAAAGCAAATTCTGCATTTCTTTTTAAATACATATTTTTAAAATGTAATAACATTTTTTCTGTAGTATTTGATCCATACTCAAATGTCTTTCAATTCCTGTTTTGAGGTGTATAATTTGTTCTTTCTGTCTGAGACAGAAGAATATGAATATATGTTGACATTGCACTTAAGTAATGCTTTGGAAAAAAATTAGTAATATTGCAAATCTGTACTGCTCAGGGGGATTTCAGCAGAGAATTTACGCTATGTTTACTAAAGTTGCAAAGTATCTTAAATTCAGCTGGGGGCATGGCAAGCGTACCTAGAAATAGAAAGTGTTTCCTTAATAGTTTTCAATTAATCAAACTTAGTCTCATATTTTATTGCCTTTTCTCTTGTAAAATGTAACTGCTTAATTCAGAAAATGCAATTTCTTATATTCAGAAAAAAATAGGTGGAATTATTTTGAGAGGGTTGTGTGGTCAGTTTGTTTGTTGTTTGTTTTCTGTTAATATTATTCACTTGTGAAAACTGGAAAACTTACATGTTGCACACTAAACTAAGACATTCTCTTCTTAATTCTGAATCCTCTGATGAAACCTAATAAGATCCTATCAGTCAACATTTAAACTGACTGTTCCTCTATCTAGAAACTAGAGTGACAATTTCAAAAGTGTGTGAATTTGCATTTCATAAAGGTTTTGGGTTTTTGTTTCATTTTCTCAATTTATCACTATCACTTAGTCTTAAACATTTAAGTCTTCCTTCATTTCATATATAAAATACTTTTACAGTCTGTTTTGTGTCTTCCATCTGAATTCAGATAAGATTGCTTCTTTCCCAAAATGTTCTTTTCAAAAAGTTTAATTGCACAAAAAACTATAGCAGCAAAAATTTGTTATTCAGTTCCCTTCTTGATGTCCTTTGTTACCCGTTACCAGAACAAATTTGAAACTTCACAGACTTTTTGTGTTAAATGTCAGAGAAAATACAGTAATTTTTTTATTATTTTGATGGTTCTCCTATTGATTGCTATCTCATGTCCTTCATTAAAAATTAAGTAGACTGTCCTTTTATAAGAGGCTCTTGGACTAAAACTGGTTCTTGAACTTAGCTTCATGTTATTGTCATAGATATGAGCCAAAGGGAGCAGAGGGCTGCTGTGATTTTCAGAGGAAACATTTTGTGTGGACATTTCATGTTCAGTGTTCCCTTAAAATGCATCTTATTTTTCTTTTGATCTCTTTATAGACATTAAAAAGAAATCATGTGTATGCCTTCTCTGTCCTTCTCTGTATTTCACATCCTTGTTGTATCATCTAGTTTTTAAATTTTAATTAATTCCCTAATTGTTATCATCTTTCCTAATTTGAAAATGTCTTCATTCATTGCCCTTCTACATGGTAGGGCAGTTCTCATCTAGAAGTGACATTATGCAATAATTAATGATTAGAGCATGGATCTATTATTTCAATCACTCTACAAACCAACACATTGTTTAGATCCACTGTGATTGTAAAAAATAGAATAGCTGATCCAGTATCTGCGGTAGCAGCCAGCATCGACAACACAACTTGTCTTTATCTGACTTTATCATAGCTAAAGTGTGTCTGCTCATATTTTCCAGCTTACTAGGACAGTTCTAGCTGTTCTTGTGGCTACATAAGCAAGCTTTGCAGTAAGGCTCAGGTGAACCCTCTCTTTAGGTGATTCTTCATGATGCTTCCTAGAACTGCATAAATTTCAGCCTTACTTGTGCTCAAGACTTAATGTTCAATCTGAATGAGTGTGTGATTATTTTGACCTCCCGTTTATGGTGGACCTGTTCTGTTTCTACTGTTTCCCTCCTGAGATGGGACCATGGGCAGTATTTGAGCTGTTTCAGAACCATCAGTTTATAAAGTGGAGCACGATAATATTTTAATTACTCCTTCCTTTGAGGCGTGCTAAAGCTTTCCCTGAAACGTTATGTCTGTGCAGGCAAAAATATTTTCACCAGTTCACAGTGGTGTTGGCGGAAAAAAAAGTGACAATGCTTAGGGGACTCATTTACAAGGGAAATGCTCCCCTAACCTAGTTAATGACTGAGTTAGGTGAGAGGGTGTTATGAGAACATTGTCCCAGAGCCAGCGAATGTTAGGTAAATTAATTAGTTGGTGGTTAGGGGAAATTAGGACTGGTTAAAAAGGAAATGAATTTTTGTCTACTACTCATTGCTGGCTTCATACAATGATGGGAATCGAATCTGTGCATTCCTATGATCCTCGAAATAAAAGTGTCCAGGAAATTTTTCAAATTAAAGATGTGGTGGTTGTAAGGCTCCAGAATCCTCTCACTGAGTCCCTTAAAGGGGCTTACTGGGATATATGTGTGTACCCTGATTTAGATGCAAGGGAGGAATACCAACAAGAAACTCCTTAAGAATCAAAACAACAAAATCTTAACTGGTAAACTTGAGAAAATCAGGGAACTTTAGAAAAAGTTTAAAGCAACATTGAATCAATATGAAGCATTTGACAAAACATTAATTTAGCAAGGTCTAAGGCCATTCAATTTAACAAACTTCAACCCATCTGATTTTAATTACTCAAAAATAAATAATATGTATGTATATATGTATATTATATATATAGTTCAAACTACAAGAATAAAAATTAAAATGTTTTTCTCAATTATACTTGAAACAGTATATTTTAGTAATAAGACGATTAACATTCAACTAACTTATGAATTTGATTTACACAAGTTTTAAAAAATATCCCACATACTTGCAGTGATACATGCTGCCTTTTCAAGTCTTGGACTCACTTGTTCATCCTTAGTTACTCCAATAACAAGTGGGGTTCCTTACCTCTAATACATGTATTAAAGCAAGAAGAGCAATTGTTATTTAATTACCCGTATCTCGACTTATAGTTAGTGTCCTGCTCATAAAGTTACAATTGTTATTGTCTGGTGAAATCTGTGTGTTGAAAATCAGCAAGAAGTACTTAGCAGTAGGCAAAAAGCTGATGTGTTGTCAACACTGAGGCACAATTCCAGAGCACAGTACCATGCATTATCCTTCTTGTTTATGTACTCTCTTTGATATAAAAGTTAAATTTATGACCATTAATTTTCAGAGGAATATCTTGCCAACTTGTACATGGTTAGAAGATATTATTTTGCTGCACTTTGAGATGTGACCTGCCTTGCACAGTTGAGCAGGACTTTCAGGTGCACTGAATACTTTATGATAATGTAAATATATTCCTGTCACTATAAAGAGAAAAAAAGAGATATTTTTGTAACATGTGAACCCATTATCCAATATTGCATTTGTTTGCAGTTCTAAAGAGGAATGGCTGCGATTCCCTCCTTTACACTTAAGGAGGTTTCACTAAGCACTGGTGCCTGTGCAGGGACGAGTAGTGATTTAGTTGGAATAATGTCAATCCTGCTACAGGTGCAGGCTGATAGCTATAGGAACAGATAGAGAAGAACTCATGACTGGCAAAACCAAAAACAGTCAGAACCTTCAGAATAGAAAGCTTAACAACTTAATAACTGAGAGGGGAATGGGAATGTGTTATTTTTACCATAAGTGTGTCAGGTGAGAAATAGTAAAAAGTTTGAAAAACTATAGAAATTAAAACTAGAATTTGTTCAAGTGGATAAAAATGCTATAAAAATGTCTAAACTGAAAATTAGAATTTGATTTCCAACAGATAAGCCAGTGTTGCTCAAGACAAACTTTCCAGAAAATGTTTGTACAGTGATCTGAGCTTAAATAGTTTTAAGTTGGAACAGTATAGGCAAGTATCTAGTCAACTTTTGGTCATGTATTGTTTTGATGAACTGCCCAGCAGCTTCTGAAAGTTGAAAACATGGAGATGTTCATATACTAGCTTTCAGGAAACTGTAAAAAATGAGTAAGTTTGTTTTTTACTAAAACTGGATAAAATCTGTAGGCTTTGTTGCTAAAGCTATAAGTCAACTATTAATGATGGTTGGTGAAGAGCTAGGGTGCCATTACTATTGCAGTAATCATCACCTGCTTGGTGTTAGTATAGATGATGGCCTTATAATGCATATAGGAATGTTTGCTGCAAAATAGATATAAACCTTCAGATCCCTTGGACTACAGATTTTTTTTCATTTTTTCAGACTGCATTCTTGCTGATAAACTACTGGGCTGTTTACAAGTGGTTTTGCATTTTGGGTAGGCAAAAACTATCATTAGTAGCAGAGTACTGTCCTAGAATTGAGAAAACCTTGTACCTAGTGTCTCTTTATTAAAATCTTTTCAACTGTATTGCCTTTTGCAAATTCATTTGTTTATATAGTTGTGGCATTTTTTCCCATGTTAGAGCTAGGGGATAAAATTACGTGTTTTGACTTTGATTAAGCTTAATAAAACTGAAGTAAGAAAATCTTGTTTAGAATTTTGAATGATTGCAGGGCAAAATTTGCATAGCACTTGTATATTCTAGTGAACACACAGACACCATCTGTTAAGAATGATAGCCATATGGTGAACTATTTATAGAAAATGTTTATATTCATTGTGTTGTTGATTATCTAGATATCCAGAAAATGCAGTTTTAAAATCTAGTTTATCAATGCGGGGAAAAATTTATTATGTGGTTTTGAAACAGGAAAGAATGCCAACAAACTGCATGTGTTTTGTTGTGTGTCAAAGATTTTTTATAAAATTTTACAAAAGCCTAAATCTGTGAAATGAATGAATGAAATAATACCTCCATGGTATTAAAAGTAGGAAGTTCTCTAACAATCTTCTTTGGAAGAAACAAATTATGGAAGAGCGGTTACTGACATGATGCCAAGACAGAGAGCTTATCTGCATTGCAGAGGACAGCAGTCTTACACCTAGTGAACTTCTAGGTATGTTAATATGTCTTCTAAACTGCAGACGGTCCCAGACTTTTGG